ATATACCTGCTATTTTATTATTACAAAATACTTTTTTAATAATAATAATAGTAAATGACCATTTTGCTATACTGCAACAACTGCCGGCAGTTCTAGAATGACGGCTTCCATAACTGCATATACAAATATGTATAATTATCAAATATCATGAATGTAATAATAATTCCATACGGTAGTGTACATTGAGAATGGTTGACCGCGACTGAACTTTACCGTAGTCGCGTGCTCGGTTATTTTAATGAGTCATCAAAAAAATACCAACAAACCTTCACTAAGAAGTGTCTATTCACCATCAGAGAGTAACAGCTGGAATTTTGTTTTCTACACAACATGCATCTGTCTATTTATCTTACATAGATTCCAGGTATTGGTGTATCGGCAGAACGATGCGAACAGTCAACTAACTTCACACATCATTAACCTCGTCTTATTAGCGCCATGAAGTCAATTAGTCAATAACAATCTTTTCCAAATTCGAAGAAAGGAAGGGGCTAAGAGATTTCTAATTCAGATCTCCTCATTTTATTCGCCCAACATGTTTGATAGCTCGGCGTTCACTGCGACAGCCTATAGCAAGTTAATTCTCCTAACAGTGAATCCATCTGTTTTGTGCATTTTGCCATTAAATATTGTGTGTCATGATCATTGGAATCGTTTATACTGATGATACTGTTGTTGATATTAAGGCCCACACAAGTAACTACTATGAGAACACTGGTAGCTGTTAGAGCGTTTTTTCCCCTATGTATATATATATATATATATATACTTTTTTCAGTGTCATAGATGCAATATAACTATACAATGCAATAATTTGTGTTGGTTTCTAGACTCTGGGATGTTTTTGTCACGCGCTAACATCAGTGTTTTATTTTCGGTTATTTCGTTATTGCTGCAAGTTGCTGTCTCTTGAGCCATGCACGTTGCAAACAGCACAGAACAGAAAACAGGCGTACTGAATACAAATCAAGAGCCTGCATCAAAACCTCGTATAGTACAATAGCAATCTTCTAGATTCTCGCTAAAACCGATTAAAGTGAGAGTCGATAAGAGACACAGAGCGCGAGATAGTAAACTTCAAATGAAGTACAATATTGGGTTAAAAAGCGATGGCGGTTCCCAGTTTCTCAGAAGTGCCAGACGATCGCTTTACAATAGTCTCTCTCATCTTGCTAATGAGTAAATGGCTCTAATGTAACAAGAAGAACTTGCAGACTCATTGGGAAATAGATTAAATATGTAAGCCACCTGGTAGCGAAAAGGCAAACAGCTGCACTAATTAAATGAGCCGGTAGGAAACTGAGTGCGTCAATCCTATGCGCACCGTAAGTTCGGATGTGGGTAATATTAATACTACATTAAATCGAAAAACTAACTTAGCTATTTCACCTAATTGGTTTGGCTAGGACAATCATTTCAGTCACTACTGTTTAGCGTATAAATACATCAACAAAAAAGGATGTGAAATCATATCGCAAAAATTTACGCTCTGTGATAGCAAGGATTTGTGTTCCTTAACGCATACTAACCTTCCGCCTTATCGCAGTTTAATAGAATTTATTTCGAAATTAGTGATAGTGAGAAAAAGGCTTGCATAAAGGTACATTTGACATCGTTGATCTTCACTTCAAACTTAAATCGTAAACTACACATTTCCTGTAAGCTACACATGCCATTCGCCCTCTTTCTGCTGTATACAAAAGTACATTTGAAGGTAATTTACAGATTTGGTGCCATCTGAACGGCTGCGATTAGGCTGTGTACATAGACAGTGCAATTTTTCATACCTCAGCTTTTTCAGACCGAACTAGATGCTCATCGAATAACGCCTTCAAAGACGTTCTCGATACTCATTGATTTCGTGTTTAAACAGCAGTTCAGTAGCAGGGACCTTGCAGTACCAACATCCTTTTTCTTCCTTAGACAGCTTCAACAAAGGTATTAAAAAAAATACTTATGAAACAGTCATTGTTACGGCTTGCTTGACACCTAAACTAGTATACCTTACGATCTATCTACACATTATACAAAAGCACCTATACAGCTGTTTTTGGGAAGAGGGCGATGCTTTCATCTGTATTCCGCCGTTGTAGCATGCATTTCACAACAACAGTAATAGTTATAACAATAATAATTATTATTATGATTACAAGGAATTATTAATCTGGTACTTTGCCACTTGGTGCCCGTTGTGTTGAGATACGTTTCCTTTGCTTCAGTGTGGCCGTTAACCGTCGTCCCCACAATTACGTCATTTCATTACAGTAAATGTTTGTCTGTGTTTGTTTTATTTAACAGCAATAATTCATCTGACATTTTTTTTGTGATCTCGTCGTCATTGCGGACGCATCATGCTTGTTACCACTGGCCACAGATGGCCAGTAATCAGGTAACAGTTTATCTCTATATTTGAAAGCATTAAGCAGATGAGTAAATGACGGCTTCCCATGACACATTAAAAATGATTATAATTACAGGACGAAAACTGGCAGCATTTTTATAGAATTAAGATTAACGTATTAGATCATGGGATGGACGGTTACAGACGGCGTTTTTCTATCTCCATTGTTTACGTTGCTCTTTCTGTTGTAACATTGCCGCTTATGTGGTATACACAGGGTCAACATTCAATTTAGCTACTGATCATCAAAAGGCGGCGGTAGATAAAATCGTGTACAGCTATGAGAATCGTAATGATAATAACGGCAATATGGAAAATGGTCAATGTCAGTAATACTCGTCAAAAAATGCTATACAATATACAGTGCAATTAACAGCCGCAGTGACGTATTAACATATTTATGATATCACAACGACTGTCGAAATAATAATGCCAACTTCTGATGGATGCAATGACGAGTAGCTAACTGTCGTGACCAGTTGTTAGATTTTGCCTTACCTTGCTTTGTTTTTGTGCATGCGTAGTAAAATAAAGATAAATACAATTCCTAAAACTCGGGCAAAATGAGGAAACCGTTCGTTCCTTTACCGTTAACTTCTAAACCCACGCGCTTTTGTCTCGTTTTATGCCGTTCGTAGCATGTCTGCATGAGGGTTGTAACAGTAATAATGATATGTAAACATTTTATGATGTTTATCCAGCCATCAGTCAGCGGGTGCCCAAAAGTCGGGGACTGTATTTGGCTATCTAGTTAACTGTTCTTTTGTTCAGCAACAGCTTCATCGTAGCGATACAGTTCCAATGCTTTAAGCGATGTAGAATGACCTCGATTGAACTTAGTACTGCCAACGTCAAATGGATTTTCTCTGGAGCGGAACAGTCGTTGTTAGGTCAACGTAGAACGGTATTCCTGTTCTTTAGGAGTATAAGGACTATCGAACAATAACTAGTAAAGGTGATATTTTCATTATAGTCGACGCTTCGCTATAGTTTGTTAGTAGTACTCGCGTGTGCCGCAGGACTAGCTGCTCCACTGCTAACACTCGATGCCCTTTTGCACGCGCGATCTCGAGCGCCTCGGAGATCCATTTGATGAAGACGAGGTTGTTTAGCACAGACAGAGTCCACGCTTCGAGACCGTTTACTGCCACAGGTTCGATTCTGCAACAGATGAAATAATCCGCTTAATTTGTTTTGAGTCGCAATTGCATAACAAAGGTAATCAAGTGCGACTCAGCGTAAAAATATATACTTTCGTTTTAACACAGTAATGTAGTGTACACTTTCATTTGAACTAAAGGTCGAAAAATGTATACATTTAACGAGAAATAAGACTCGTCCATTAACGTTTAAATATAATAATCTTCCTATAGGAGGCTTCCCTTAGCTATTATGGTACATACCAATATATATGATGTAGAATATGGTTTTAGAGTTTTAGAATGTAATTAGTGTAAATAACATAGAAAAATCAAACATACATTTAATTACAGTTACAAAACAGTGCTCAACTATACAAACATTTGTATTCAAGATACCAATAAATTTATATTGAAACAAATCAGGATTTCATTTATATAAGAGTATCACTACAACATTGTCAATCGAGCGCTATAACCAACAATCGCGAAAAACTTTGCTTGGAAAACTTGGACTTTAGCTTAAATGGGTTTGCTTCAACATTCAATTCATTCCCTCATACGCTTTTTTTACTCTTTCAAGAATCTACTTAGTTGCTACTTACATAGTCAATTTTTATTTAAGAGGAGCTTAAAGAAGTTACAAGGGAATTCACTCAAAAAATGTATGTACTTAGTTTTATTCCAGAAGATCTAACGCATAGGTCTATTGCAGATTTAGCAAATATCAAACAACAGGGCGGTAGAACACTTGCCTACGTGACATCACTGAAGAGCTTACAGATGGACATGTTACTACGTTTAGCCTTACATACTTTACGGGTCGTGGGTACTTAAACATAGGATGGAATCCTCAATATACAGGCTGGTCAGACTTTGATAAAATTTAGGTGGCGAATGTTACAAAACTGCTTTGAACAAATATTAAGGAAAAAAAGGCAGCTTAGCAGTCAGATAACCGCTGGTCTGCCACCCTGCCGATTCCAATTGGATTTAGGCTCAAACGCAAAAACATAACTAGACCTCGCCCATACAGCATATAATATTCCCAGCTAAGTTATATAAAACTAAACTTTTCCAAATATTCCGCCTATAATTTTGAGGAACATATTTAACGAAAATGGTAGTCCCCAGGTGAAAGAGATTACTTAATAATTATACTTTAATTACTTATGTTGAATTATTAGATACTGAACTACCTATAAAGAGATTATCGTGAAGAACGTTGAAAACGATAAAAAATGCTTTCTTATTGAGGCCTGCTAGTTAGCACAGCAGAAAGCAAAATTCCTAAGAAAGAAGCTGCGTAGCTTGTGTACTTCAAAAAGAAAGCTTTTTTTTTTTAGAAAAAGCGCTATTCAGTCTACACGCTATTTAGCTATCCAAACAGATAATTTTCTAATAAAGGAATAAAGTAATACTAGCACGAGCGGCAGAAATAAAAATATTAATATTGATGAAATAACCCATAGTGATTATCTCTAAAGTGCTTAAAAACAATACTCTGTGGTTAATACACTAGCAATAGCTATATTTGGTGCGACTTCTTGGTTGGCTTTTGCTATATTTTTTTCTTTATGTAATTAGGCATAACAAAGATGTTCACAGCTAAAAAAAAGTTTTAAAGACTAACTTAACTTCCGCTTCACTAATCAGCCCTTGGCATAGGCGAAAGTACTCTACCTGGTTAAGGTGGTTAAGCGGAAGTCTCAAAAGATTATTCTCCTCATCTGACGGGAGTGTTGCATGATTTAGCGGGTTGCTCTTCACCAAAGGCGGCGAGAAGTCTGCCGATTCGCTTATCTCCTCGGTATCTGCCTTCACAGAGACCTCTCTGTCAGGGCTGATATCATGCAGCAGGCTGCGGAAAGCTACTGTTAGCACGGAGATATTGTCGCTGCGTAATTGAGTCCGACGCCACCGATCCAGGGCCATTGAGACTAATTCGCGCGCAGGATCTCGCGCCGCCCTCAGATTGAATCGCTCTATTTGTAATAAGTACTCTTCAACCTGTAAAAGCATTAATGACCATGAACGAGAAGAAAATTAAATTTAAATCATTTTAATGTTACATTTTATGTGAGTCGACAGATTTAGTGCAAGCCTATTGGAACAGGTGTAGTAAGAAATGCTACATGTATGATTGTTGGAAACATCTGAATTTGGTTTTTAAAAATAATTTATATACTACAATAGGTTATGTTTCCCCTTTCCCTACCTCTCGCTGTGATGATTAGTATCCTATGCTTATAACAAAATATGAAGCCGGATTCGTGTATCTACTATGTATTTTACCAAAGATGGTGAAGGAAATAAACTGAGAGGTACAGCTTGGGTAAAAAACGCGTAATATGTCCTTAAATTAGAAATCAAATGTAAAAAAAACCTGTACATGAGTTTCCCTTTATTATTTAACATATTCTTCTCCTCCGCCTTATTCTAAAAAAGGTCATTTTAAAAATTAACTCAATACTTATACCAAAAGTGCCTTTAGTTCTTATTTTATATACGCTTATACTTGTCGTGACGAAATGTCGACTATACAGAGATATATATATATATATATATATATATATATATATATATATATATATATATATATATATATATATATATAGTCTCTTGCTTTAAAACCTATGTTTTTTGTCAAAATGCGCTCCCTGTCATATAACAAAATAAGGCAAAATTGTTTGGCCGGTTTATAAGCATTTATTTAAGCGCATTACCATAGTGATCATGACCATGCGCTTATCGCTGGTTCAAATCTTAGTATTCACAAATGGTTATCATGGCATATGCCGTTTCATGCCATTTTAGAGGTTCCTTTGAAAAAAGTCAGATAAATTCAATAAGGACCCATTCCGATAGGATTTTCTTGTGGCAGCAGGTCCTTGATACTCTGCTGAAAAGGTGATCACGAAGACTTATTCACACGATAAGAACACATGTAGTCGTTAAAAAAAAACAAACAAACAAACTCAGTATTAACGATATAAGAAGACAATCGCTTAGTGTGTTTTAACCAGTTTGACTATCTAAAGAGAGCAACACAACTTCAGAAATGTTCCATTTTCGGCACTGCAGGCTATAGACACCAGTTCCTTACAATGATAAACGCTCAGAAATTTAACGCTCACTATAAATAAAGTCCGTAAAAGGATTCGTGCAAAATCTGCCACAAATCATGTGTGAAAAACTACTACTTGGGTAAACTACTTTACGTATTAAAAAAACTGCCTTCAAACGATTTTATAACAACATAAGTGCAGTAATTATAATATTTGTGATATTGGTATATGATACTTCAACATGTGTTTTATATATAATAGTAAACAAAGCGAATCTGAATATTGCTAAATAAACAGTGAGAGCAATCATATCATATCGTTTTTGAAAAATTAGTGATCCTTTTATAGCGACAAGCAGAATTGGTTGACGCATTTCATCGTATGTTTTTTTTCTTACTAAATGATATTTCTTATTAGGTTGGTTCATTTACTTCAAACGCAGTTCTCTCCCAGTATAGCACATCCTGCAAGATGACACTGCAAGCAATACATGCTAAGTTATATCTATTTTTACAATTCGTAGCTGAAACCATGCCACTATGCTATTACTAGTACACCTAAGGTCTTTGAGGTTTTTATTTCTTCAAAGGTTGGAGACGCTTTTTTTATAGCCTGACATGTTTACATTACACAAATATGTTTTCAAATGTGTGCAGCCATAGGTGGCTCAAATCGCAATTAGTGCCCCCGGTGTTTTTAATATGTCGTTTGCGTTTCTAAAACAAGCATTTTACGATGTTTGTTAATGGATAACGTGTTCCTGCTACGTCAGAATCAATTTGCAATTAGCGTGTTCATAGACCAGGTATGGGTCCTCAACGTGTTCACGCACAGACATGACTAGAGCTATTGAAGTCGCATAATAAGTCCCTGCAATGAATGGTTCGATCAAATTTTGTAAGACATTAAGTTGAACTTCTACAAACCCAAGCTATGGTTAGTACCGATCTTTTTAATATCAGTTTTGACAAGCTGAAACAAGCAAACGACTCTTCTACTTAGATTGAGCTTTCAGCGCCTTCGCACGAACCGCCTAACGTGTCATTCATTGTTCTACTTGCTGCGAATTCTGACTATTCGATACAGCCTACACTGCACTAGCATAATTTAGCAAAAGACGATCTTGCTTTAAAAAGGAATACCCTGATAATCACCGTACTTTAATAAAATCGGTAACCGTCACTCAAGTATTATAAAAATGTGCCTCACTCTGGACTTATGTATATATAATGTAGATGTATATCAGGACTATCTAATGCTTTTGCATTTGTATCTACATACTATGGCACGTTTTTAATGGTACTTATCTGATAAAAAGCGCAGCCGATACGCAATACATTTCCAACAAAACGCTCAACGCTTGTCGTTCAATGTGATCAAAATAGGCCGAAGAAGTGATTTGTTATGACGCTAAATGATTACTAGAATTGAATTTTGCGTACACACTTGTTTTTGTTCTCGCAAATCACTGGTGAAGTATCTTCGAAAAGTCAAAATTTTTTCAATTACCATTAGTGAAACTATTTTTATTCCAAAATAATTCAGAACTTCTAAGAAAGTATATTAGTGTGTATAACCATTAAGGATTACATATGTTGCTATAACCGAGCAGTCCAATACTGACTCGAAATTGTTGTTTGGTTTCTTACGGCTATTTTTAGCTTGGTTAACTTTACCCTGTTCCATTTTGCAACCTCATCTGGCCGTTTAACAGTTTGATACTCCCAGCTTCCCTCAACAGTTGACCATACCATTGCTTCACGGTGTGCGGGACGTGTAAACTAATATGATAATATGGGATTCTAATGTGGAGTATTAGACCAACAATAGAGTGTTAGATAAAATATAATAGTATTACGTGGCTAAACTGTCCAGCTTAATGTAGAGGCACTAAGACCAAAAGGTAAAGCCACCCCCAATTGTTCGCTCTGATTCCACTTTTATCATAGCAAATCATTTCAATTGGAAGACTTCCTTTTGCCTCGCCTATTTTGTGGGTTGTGGATTTTGACCGTTGAATTTGTTAGTCATTAGGCAAGTTTAGTGATAAATTCGAGCAAAAAAAATTCAGTATTTGGACGTGTAGGTTTTCGTGTTCTACTGTATAATTTGAGACCCCTCACATGAATTCATGTTTCAGCGATATAGACATGACGAGTAAAATAAATGTTCAAAGTTTTATTGACGATACTGCTGCCAAGCATTGGCTCTAACGGCTGGATTCTATAAGTACGAAATAAAGGGGGTTTAGGCCTGGTTTCACCACTTCAGATGCCTCTAAGTTCAGTGGGCAAACACAGGAATTAGTGGTTAAGGGTATTCACGACTGACGCAGCAAGGGGCTAAAGTTATCCTTAGAAGCGGGTTCTACGTGAAGTTACGCACTCATGCCACAGGGAAAACAATGAGCATCAAGGTCGGTCAAATTAATAATTACCGAAGTAATGCCTGACAATCTAAGTACCAGACCTAAAACACGAAAAACATCTTGTTTTACTAACAATTAGAGTTTATGACAGCGTTTCTACTCATTAATGATAATCATACAAGTGCACGATTGTTCTTAAATCATATCCCCAACACATGTTTAGTCACTCTCCATTAGATAAAATTAGGAAATATAGCTAATCCGGCGGGTTAACAGCTGAGACGTGCAATTTAAGTACTCATGATAGTCTTTCAAGCTTTAGGAAGATGAAAATGCGTCTTTCCTCATACAGTTTCCCCGTTGGGCAGTAATTATCAAGATTGCTGACATTGTCATATGCCATTGTCGTCCATACATATACAAAGCGGGCCAAAAGGAAATGTATAATAGGTAAAGATATAAGTCTAGAAATGAGAAAAAATTGGTTTTCCATTAGAAAAGAAGGTAGGTTCCCAGTGAATACGAATGCTGCCTCAACTATGAGCATACCGTTTCACAACTAGTAGGTCCACTTTGGCCTCACCCTATATATATATATATATATATATATATATTATCACTTCGATTCGTCTAATTAGCACGCGTAGTTACATTCTATTTCTATCCTCAAATAATGTTGGATCCGAATAACTCATGAGTAAGCACTCAAAAATTAATGTTAAATTACTATTAATTATACTTACTGCATATAAATATGTTTCAAATTCGTATTTAGCGGAATAGCCATTCTGTGCAAATAATCTATAAAAATGTAAATCATGGTTCCTACTAAAGACCGTACGAAGGCTAAACAATTATAAAAATGGTTCTAAAAAGCAACAAATTGTCCTTGAAGATGTTCGCAAACGCGCTCCGTACCATCACCCAAAACAAGAAATACATGGCGAAGAAATGATGTTTAATCTTACACGTGATACCATGCCCCCGCTGACTTCATATTATGTATGAACCAGATACAAAGGTGTGCAAATAGATGGCATTTCATTTCGTCACTAAACAGTTTCTGTTCGAAATTGAAGGCTGGTATCGACAAAAATCCGCTGTGTAGCCTATCCCTAATCAAAACATAGGCTGTACGTGTAGTATTTAACCGATAGCGTCGCATAGGCCATAGCATGGACCATGTTAAGTTTTTTATCTTTGAAGAACAACATTTACTTTCATAGATTGTTTTTTGCTGCACGAAGAAAAGAACAACTTAGTAGATCACACAGAAAACTGAATAATGGCATCTTCGTATATAAAGCACTCCGTGCACACTAATGATACGATAACTTGAATTACGTGCATGATGAACACACACAACATCACTGCTATATTTTGGTTCAGCGCGTCATGGGTTAACAAGGTTTCACTAAAAGCGCATAGATATAAAAATTGGAGTGTTACGAACAGGATGACTTAAGATAAATCGTCTCGAATAATTGCGTGAACAAGTGGTCTGACTAACTATAAGCTATTTTTTTTTATTATTGCTGTTCACTGGTTACTTCGTATGTCTTCCAGGGGATGGTTGTTAGGTGACGGTCCAGAAAATAAACAAAACAGTTAAATAGTAGTAAAAAAAAACTTAAAATCTATAAAACTAAGTTTATGAAATAGTATTATAACACATACAGCCTATTTTATACTAGTCTGGCGTACCCTAGGAATTTAACTTTTGTTTATAATTTTTTTTCTAGCACGAAAGTATAATTATTATGGTTAGCGAGTTTTATGAATCCGTCCAAATGACTCAAATGGTGATGAATAAAAGAGATTGTTGCTGGGACGCCAATAGCCAATGCATCCCTAAATATGTCCTTGGTCAAGGTTAAAATCACGAGTACTAACCTTAATGTTATAAAAATCTAATAAATTAATTTACCCGAATCATTTAAATGGATGAACAATTGTGTTGCCCAAGAAAAGAGAACACTACACATACATTTTCTGTTCAGAGGTTACTATAAAAAAAGATTCAAAAATTCTATTCAAAAACTAAATTTTATATGATCATAAAATAGTGACGTACATTACACGACAGGTGTGATTAAGTAAAGAAGAATAATTGTTGGCATGCACTGCCAAAAAAACATTGAACATTTTCGTGCACAGTAGTTTTTTTTTGGTATTTACAACCCAAGGAATTTCTAAAACAATTTTAAATTCTAGTACTAGCTAGAGTTTAAAATATATCACGCTTACAATATGGAATGCTGGCCGGACTTTTTATTCGTATGTAATAATATGTAGCCCACACTAATATGAATCCAATAAAATAATTTGCGATTGGTTACGTCATTCTCGCTTGAACCCAAAAAAAAAGTGAGCGTCTTAACATGCCTCTTCTAAAACCATTTTTTGAGCCGGCAGAATTTATAACAGTTAGCACAGTATAGTATTGACATAATTGCATTCATATTCCAAATTTGGACACCTTTTTCCAGTCCTCTATTCATTTACAATAATCTTGTCTCCATTCACTTCGACCCGATATTCCTATCTAAATCAGTTAGTCATGAACAAGACTGACCTTGTCCGACCTTTGCCATTTCGGTGTCGAAAAGGTAACGTGAAAAGTCATCACTAAACTATATTGAAACCACGAAGACAAGTAAAAAACGTTTTACAAAGAAAAGGCTCATATGGTTACCACGGGATTTAACGTCATATCCAGAAACGCAGGACTATCTAGAAATTATTCGCAACCAGTGACCTAGCACAACTAAAATTGATTAGATAGTTTTTATTAAAAAATAACTCACATAAAACTTTTTTTGACCAAATATGTTTTACTCTAAATTGAAACTTTTTTTTAAAGGGTCGTTTTACTAGTTACCTTTTTATCCCTTTTGTTTACCAACGTCACAATCACCTCAAATGTAATAATAATAATATAATTATTCAGATCGAGAAGAGTATATTCGAATACTGTTATCTTTTTCTGTTTCACAACTTACCTCCTGAACTTTTTCCACAACTTCCGAATTGCTTAGCATGTTGAACAATCCATCAGAGCCGAGCACCAGGCAACGTAGATCTGACGCAATCGGAATACACTCCACGTCCGGCACAGGTGACACAATGTACTCTCCACTATCATAATTATAGCTCCAAAGATCACCTAAAGACCGGGCGATGGCAAGAAAAGGCACTTGCTCAAAGACTTCGGTATTTCGGTTTTTTCGCCGCCACACAACCCGTGGAACGTTGTACTTCACCATAATCGAGCCCCCGTGTCTCCATATACGTTCTCGTTCCGGTTCACATTCCGGCTTATGGTCAACGGTAAGGGCTCTTGTGGACCAAACCTCTTCAAGCCCCCGTTTGGTGAGTTCACCATCATCACTGTCACAATCAGAACGAACTCCCGTACCAGTGGCGCCGTTAACTCCGTTACTTAATCGAGACATCGTGCTTGCTTTTACGCAGCGGCCCAACAGTACTCTGGAGTCGCCCAGATGTGCTACAAACAGTCGAGACCTTCGGCGATCGATTAGTACGAGGCTGACCGTCGTTCCAGCAGTGCTTCGATGGCCAGAGCTCGTCTTTGGCCAATCATCGGCCGAGCATTCCATCGCCTTCTGAGTGTCGGCGAAACCCGACTTGATCGCTTCGATCACCTGTTGGTGGTTTTCATCAAGGATGCCCTCCTGCATCTTGATATTCGCCACCAGATGCTCCTTAGCGAAGTCGGACGCCTGCCTCCCGCCATGGCCATCGAACACTCCGTAGTAGATGAAGTTATCATCAATGTCGTAAAGGATCTCATCCTCCTGATATTGCCTGTCACCCTGAACCGAGTTCGAGCATGTCCGAAGCCAATATCGACGTTGGTCAGTACACAGAACAATGTCATCCATCGTCTTAAACGTTTCCGTTAGACTGTACGCTCGACTTGAGTTTCGCTATTTCAGGGGATCACCGATCACTGGCACAGCCTAACAGGCGAACAAACCGTAGTCAGTCACATGAGTGTTGGTTGACACTGAAAACGTTTTGTTGGGGTGGCCTGACGGGATAGGCGCCCTATGCGGGGGTCATTTAGTTGTTCGTTATTCGTTTTCGAGGTCGATTGGAATCGTTCGGTGATTCTCGTCACTCAGGCACACACAACAGCAGAGACACCACTAAATTCAAATAGCGGCGTGTGCGCACCAAAACCCCGCACAAAATCACGCACACAATGATAATATCACTGGCTGGACGTCTATCTCCATTCGTAATTCGAATTAGATCCAACAGCATCACTAGAACACACACAAACCGACACTTCTTCGTGAATGATGGTAGAAAAACAGACCAGCGCGGCGGCGCCAGCAGCAGCAGTTAGAGTAGTTCGCTAGTAGCGCTACCAGCGCCGTAACAACACTTGTGCGAACAAGCACCAGCGGGCGCCATGTTGAATTCCGGGATTCCTCTCCAGCGGATGCTGCTGGTTGGTTTGCGGAGCGGCGCCAAAATTCAAGTGGCGCGACGGTCAAATCCAGAGGTCCCGTCCAGCTGATCGAACGACGATCGAATTTGTTAAATCTGCATCGTGATGAATGAACTGTCGCCCACTGGCAGTTCACAATTGAGTCGGACGCCAAGTGGAAACGGGGCATTAAACTTGATTGAATTCGGCTAGGATTACTAACCCTCATTCGAAATTAATATATAGATTACAGTCATCGATAATAGATATGTAAGTAAAACAAAGTTACGAAGCAGTTATTTTCATCAGCCGAAAAATCCGCCAAGTGAACATTTGTAAATGCAATCGCAACTAGCCGCACGTCATTCACAACGGTTGCCCTCTGGAGTGTGCGGGTTATATATATATATATATATATATATAGTTTTCCGTTTAGAAACAATCCTCCATGTAATATTCTACAAGTCGATATTTAAAAGGCGGCACTTTTACATAACTATGGATAGAAAAGCATGCAGAAATATGTATCTTAAAAGAGGTTGAACTTTACCACTTTTTTTTTACTTGAGCAAAATTTTAACACTGGTTATATGGTATTAGTCAAAAGCTCAAGAGTTAACCTAAACCTTTGTCTACAAATATCATGTATTGTTTGTGCTAATGCATAGCTGCTGAGTAGAATATCAACAAAACTGCTCAATAAGGAAAAAGAATCAGAATTCATATACCCGTTCTACAGGGAGATATATACCCCGCCAAGCCAGCAAGCGAATTCCTACAAGTCTTGCTACGTGAACAGGGGCAATCGCTTAAGTTATGGCGGTCGCCTAATATTGCTTTTCTTCTTCTTGTTTCGCCAACCCTGACGCGTGCGGGCGCTCAACTAAATAGTTTTGCCCGAACGGATCTGGATGAACAGATGGATAGTGCGAAGGCCTTCGGCAACTCGTCCTGTCGCTCGTTCGCTAAACGCTCCAGCATGACCGAGCACTGGCCGCCGCCGAAGCAGCAACGGCCGAGCTATCAGCGCTATTCTATCTGGTGTAATATTAGCGTTATAGGCGCTTTTCTATCGTCGATGTAACGCCACTGTCTCAGCGCATCCGCCAAGATGTGATAGCCTTTCGCGCAGCCGCTGCTGTCTGTTCGCGCATACGCGCGTAGGAGCCTATGAACGTGGTGGTGCGTCCCTTGTTGCTTGTCGATAGGCGTTATCAACTTGTGCAGCGCGCGAAAATGGCGAGGCAATGACATTTACACGGGTGTTGCAATAGCGATACGACAAGATGCCAAGGTTAATGACTCTCGACGCAACTCTTTACTCGGTAACGAATAGAGCCGCTGTTGGCAATCGTAGCCAAGTGGATCTGTGCTCTTTGATCTCCTGGAACCGATGAATTTGCCGGTGAAAACAATTAATTAGGATATTGATACAAGCATAAATATATCTTATAATGTGTAGGAGCTAATAATGGTTGTTGAAGCTCTATTATAGTTTGCTGTTCTCGACTTTTTCCAATCATCATCGTCGAAAATATTACGAGAATCAGTTACTGCGAAACTTATGACCAAACGCTCGTGTTCGCTGGATACTGCGATTTGTTTGTGATGAGCCTTGTGGGACGCATGGCGGCAAACTTCAGCCCATGCTTCCGTTGGGATTCAACCTCCTCACATAACAACGCCGCAGAACTTGAAATAATATGCCGGTCTTTCCAAATTCCCACCAGTATCTTTATCATTATTATTATCATAAATGTTGGCTTTTTCGAACGTCACGAAGCCTAAATTTGCTTTGCTCGTATTCCTGCATTGTTTTTCAACTTACGATGATTGATTTGGCGCCATTGCGCGACCCAACGCCACAGCACTGTTACGGTCCTAACAGATGCACATAGCAAACAGCGACAGCCCACGATTTGCAACCTGAGGCTGCTGCCGGCGTATATCGCCTCTTTCCGTCTAATGCTGAACCTAGACGCCCAATCCAAGCGGGACCCTGCCTTTGTATTCATAGCAGCCCCTTGTTTTTCCAAGCCTTTGGCGCTGCAACAGTCATCGTAGGCGTCTTTGTTAATAAAAATCGCATGTCCTACAACCTGTAAAACCCGCATAATCACAACCTTTGGATCTGCACGATATATATTTGTGGGTCAGTTCGTGTGTGATATCGGCGTATATCTGGGCATAAGAGCGTCTCGAGCTATGTAAGCTGAACTATGTCCTTACAGCGGTATGTACGTGTAGTTGGTCTCGTGTTCTCACTGCGTATCGCTGTTCGTAGATCGCTGGTGGGTGTGTATGTGTATGTATGTATATGGGTGGTTGTGTACGTGTGTCTGTGTGTATATGTATTCTTAGAAGTATGTGAGATTGTCCCTAGGGTCTCTAACCTCTGGTGCTTAGCTGCGTGCAGCTAGCTGGTCGCTAGAAGTGTGAGCGGTAATCTATGAACTGTGCGCTAGCGGTAAGAAAGTTTGGTTTGCATTCCATGGCTGTTGTATAGGTGCTTGTTACCATCACGGCAGCCGGCATTGCTATACTACCACATCGAGGATCATCGAGCGTGCGTGCACGAAGGCTCCATTTGCCACTAATACCAACCAGTGCTGCGGCACTATAGCTAATAGAATAGGATAGCATAGATAGGCAATGGGTCCTAGCAGTCGCGTGAACGGCGGGCCATTGTATGCGTGTCGGTTTTGTGTAGTTGCTCGTGTGTGGGGTCGCTGGCTGTTCGTCCGTACATCCCGCTGGCTGAGTCTAGTAATGGCTGTGTAACTGAGAGTTGAGTGTGTGTGTCTGCGTGTATGCGCGTGCGGGGTTGTGTACTGTTGTGGGTGCAGGCGCAAATGTGTTTTCGTATCCCTAATACTTTATAGGAGTTCCCAGACGAAAAAAACCATGTCTGAATTAGATGATGCGTGTGAGTATGGACAGAATAGCTTCACGTATATCCACGCTTATAGTCGTAAGTCTTTCTGCCACTTATCCACGATATATATACATACGTGCCTTAGAGACGGAGTTCGTGTACAGCTATCGTGTCCTGCATGTGTGTGCGCCTTCTGTGTTGTTTGGCATGCTTTGTATCTCTAGACTAGCGCTCCACGACATCCAACTGTGCGGACACACAGGTCCCGATTGACTTCTATCCTCCATTGCCGTGTGTCCTTGTTGTGTGCGTGTCAGGGTATCGGAGTTGTGCAGTCGTCGTCCACCATCCGTCTGTGTGGCCATCCGACGGGAGCGAGAGAACTGTTAGCGCAGGACCCCGCAGGCCGAAACCGCTGGGAGGCAACAGCGGCGGCAAGACTGCTAGCATCACTACCAACGTTGGCACGACTACGACTAAGGTTAAAGCAACGGCACCGCAGAAACTCTAGTAGGAACATTGGTCGCAGCAGCAGTCATACAGACAGCCCAGTAAGCAGCAGGGAGCCGAGCGGGTAGCAGACTTAGCGGCAGCAGCAGCAGCACCACCACCACTCACAACGACGGTAGCAGCAGCATCAGCGGCTGAAGTAGCAGTCTAAGACAGACAGAGCAACGGCACGGCAGCCATACCAACGTCGATCGGTGCTGGTGCTGGCGAGCCAGTGATAACGAGCGTATATCAGTGACAAGCGCTCAATGTGTGCGTGGGTGTGTGACTCCAAGCAAGAACAAAGTCTCGCAGTCAAAAAGACGAACAACAACAGTGTAAAACAGCAAAACAACAGCAGCAGTAGCAGTCGCTACCGCAGCAATCTCCTCCAGGAAAGGTGGGCAGGCCTGCATAGGCCATCGAGCCGCGCTACGATCAGCCGCCCCGACCACACAGCACCTGCCACGACGAAAGCGCAAGTGACCACGACCCAACAGCAGCAGCAGCAACAGTAGAAACAACTAGCGACCAGCCAATTAACAAACGAAGAGCGCTCCGCCACTAGGAAGCTACCGATTATTACAATTAGCCAATCAAGCAGACAGCCAATCAATCAAACTGACTGACTGTCTGAAGCAAGCATCCATTTCTTTTTCGCCTCCTAATACCTTCTTCCCTTCGCCTAGCTGTATATTATTGCCTGAACTCGCAGCAGCTGCAGGGGCAGCGATTGCCGCCGTAGTTCTGTCGTGAAAGCCGCAACACAGCAGACGCAGTAGTAGCAACAACCCCAACGGTCTTCGTCCAAGTGAAAGTGGAAACAAGAGCAGATATCCGCAGTGAGTCTCCTTTCCTCGACCTCCTCGGCAACAGTAGCAGCGGCGGCGGCAGAAAACAGGCAACGGCACACAAAGCTGTAGGTTCGGATAGAAGCAGCAGCAGCGAGAACAAGCAAGCTGAAGGCTTTGTTTGAGCTCGAAATAGATCGCCATTGAACAGTCGCTTAGCGCCGATACACAGCATAGCGCAGTACGTTGAGGCTGGGTTGAGTCGACTTCGACATTAGCGAATAACACAGCAGAAGGGAGTTCGCAGAAAATCGTAGAGGCGAAATCACCAGCTGCAGTCGTATTCGTAGTCGTTCAGTAGTCGCAACGATAGACGAAGCCGAGAAATTCAGGAACGGTAAGGAGACTGATAGACCGAGTCGAAATCATTACAGCAGCAGCAGCAGCAGCAACCGTATCAGCATCTACAGCAGACTAAGCGAATCGCGATTCAGAACAAGCAACACTCGGCAACGCCGTTGCTATCTAACGCAATAACGAGTGAAACACTAGCCTCCGCTGTTACCGAAAGCTACGATTGTCAGACTGCCTCAACAGCATTAGCTCAGAAGCAGCAGCAGCAGCAGCAGCAAACAACTAGTTCAAGAGAAGTTCTCCACCTCTAATCAAATCGCCGCATCATGTGCGTTTAACTGTTTAGCATTATTATCATGATAAGGACAGGCCATCGCTGACCCCCCTAACCCAACCGGTGCTAGCCATTATTTCCGTCTTCCAATGTAACTGTTATTGTGTGTCATCGTCTATACGTTTGTAAGCTTTTGTTGACGTGGTCCATCCGACCGAGGCAGAAAGCCAACTGAAGAGAATAATGATTCATTTACCGTTTTGGATCTAGTTACGCTTTATACTTAATCTCTGCCTAAAAATCGTCCGTCGCCGTGTAACCCTGCGCATGCTCATGAACGAATCTTAAACAGGCTTCTGCTAGTATTAATTATTAGCAAGCAGCTGGAAGCTGAATAATTACAAATCACACTCATAGATCTAACCTAATGTAGGAATAACTACCAGTCGATCGAACGCATGCTGCCACAGAACATAAGTGCGCGAGGGGGACCACAAAGACTTTGCGCTATGCCGACAACGGCAACGATCAAGTGCCAATAGATAAAATCTATATGTATAACCATCTTTCTGCATCGAATTTCGCGCTCTCTCTCTCTATCTCTATCTATCTGTATCTCCCGAGCTCTCTCTCCTTTCTCCCTCTCTCTCCTTCGTGCTGTGCTAGTTGTGATTTCGGTGATAGTGTGTCCCTCAGGATTAAAATGGTGGTTTATCATGACGTTACCGTGTCTTTCCCGGATCTTAATAATCTATGCTCTCTTAAGAGACCCCCCCCCCTCAAAGCCAGGCAGTAAAATCGACAACAGCCTGGCGCTAACATTCAAACCCCTCAAACAATGACGTTGCACTTATACCGCAAACTTTTTCATATTAAGCATTGCGCATAGGTCTACGGGGTTGTTCTGCCTCTTGAATTAACGGTAATCGACCAAGCAATGATTTGCCCACGTCTAGTTGAGGTCCCCAATGTCTAGGATACAGGGAACGTGTCCGCCGTTTCACTCATTGTTGCCCCTTAGAGTACGATAAGGATAGCAATACGTTCGACGTGCTCCACTACGACAGAGATGTCCATCGCCAAAGAAGCGTTTTGCCCAAAACTGAGTCAAAGTAATTGAATTCGATGGTAGCCTTCCAAAGCTATAACGATAAGCTTTATATGAAACCTTGTCTGATGTCTGAACGTCGGCGCTGAGCTAGTCCACAACTAGGACTGATTTCTACAAATTTTACAGTTGAAAAAGCGGGCGTAATGTTTGATTTCAATATTGTAACGAGTGGCTCACTCATCCTGTTGCTAACAAGTCATACCACATGTACATAACATTCACTCACAGATCAAGTCGGTCATAGACGTATTCACGCCGTTCTCACACATGATTATACGTAAAAATCGGCTAATTTTGTTGCTTTATGGAAAATTTCTCGTTTTAATCCTTCTGTATTTTATGGAGTCGATTGTTGTTTTGATTTTTATTGAGTGATTTCATGTTTTTTCAGCAATTAACGATTATATATATTGCTTTATTAAATTCGTTGTAGCTTGCTTTGTTGAGTTCGTTGTCCTGGTTGACATATTTCGTTTTCGTATTCTAGTCGTTCTTACATACAGCACCATATTCGGCACCATGGTAGAAAAAAGTGGGGAAAAAACAATTATTATTTTAAAAAATCTTTGCATTCGTTTTATGAAGTTTGAAAAATAAAACAGCTCGTGCATAGGGATGTTGCACAAATTGTCAACCATTTTTAAGAAATTTATTTCCAAGAACTTATTTCTCAGCCGGTTTTCGGATATTTTTCGTAAACATATCGTTTTCATCAGTGTTTTCTTATCACATTACAAAAACCATGAGAACCATCACATATGCACTTACGTACATACATACAAATAAACTTACAGAAGAGGTATAAAGTGTACCTTGTATTCCGTCTTCTATTCCCATACAACGTCAGAGGTGTTGAGGGGTGCAGTACGCGCCTAGAACTGAGTTTAGCAATCGAACCTGCTTTTCTACACATTGAGATCAAAAATACTTCCTGATTTTTTCTTAACAGCATGCTCACTCCGGAAAGGACTATGGCCAGGTCACAAACTATCTCGCCTCTGACTCGTCACGTTTCGTAATTTCTCCTATATACGGGCTTCCATGGCGGCAATCGAAGACTACGTGCCGTTCTTTCAGTTGATTTTCGTCCAGGTGCCTTGGAAATGGCCGACTTAATTGCACGCTTTATGTACTGAAGGGCACCTGTGGAACCCTGGATACGACGACATATGAATATATGACCATTCTATAATCGAACCAAATTAAACCACAATTCTATTGAATTTGGTTCTTCTTTTCTTTTTAAGTACACATAGACCCTCCAATTTTCTTTGTTTTAAGTCTAGTTAAGCGTCCACAAAGGGCTAGTTACGCCTTAAGCAGTCTGGTAGCTACCGAAAAGACCTTTGATCTCCTCCACTTTATTCTGACGTCCGAACGATGACAGGGGATGCACTCACCAGATTGTTCACAACGCTGTTTGGATGGCCTGTCATACCTATGCCTATGTTCATCCATAAATATAACCTAATGATAAGGCGCGCGTTTCTGAACATCGTGGAACCAAGCTATAGGTGAACGGGCCCAAGCACTGAACTCGATTCATCACTAGTATAACTGCCACAGGAAACAATTGCTCGACCGCCAGCAACTGCTCCGCAGTTGGTGGACCGCTAGTGATTTATTAGCTTAAATCCTTAACAGCTATTTCGCCTATTGCTATCTGGCGAGAGCGACGTTCGACCTTCGAGGCTTTGAAGGGGGCTGGGGTGGAATCAAGTATGTGGGCACTGACCGAGGGGCATATAAGAGCGGGGATCAGTTTTACTGATGGCGGTCACCTACTCCGTTATTGCAGAGTACAATGACTTGCTCAGTGACGCCTGTACATTGTTCATGTGTGTTACACGGTACAACGATTCCGTATAATATGACTCATATACATAGGTCGCATAGATCAGAATTGGAATATGAAGCTAAATTGGGTAAGATATAGTACGAGAATGCGCCCAGTCGACAAAACAGGTTAGACTTACAGGGTTACTGGCCAAGATGACGGAGTTTTGAACTTAGATAGAGGTCTGCCGGTTTCAACGGTGCCCGCTACAACTAAAACAACGCACATTTGTATGAGTGTATGCTCTCCTTAAATGGTTTTATGATGACTATTACATGATGGACATGAAGTATGCCTCAGAGAAAAGGTAGATTTAGAGGGAGTAACCAAAAAAGCTTGTTCTTACGGGTCTGAGTCAGAAACACATAACTTGATTGCAGGATAAAACCTATGGGCTACGATCCCAATCGTCAACCTTTTTGTTTTGTATGCGTCTTTCAATGAGATTTGCAGTTGTCCCTGTTGTTATTGGACACGTCAACATGTTTTTTTCGTCAATCACATCTTAGTTAAGCCATACAATGAAAACAGCTCCCATTGCTATAGCCATTGATAATTTATTATTATACAAGTTCATTATTAGCTCGGAAATCAGCGCAGCACTTTAGACCTTTCTAATATTTGCTCATACGCGGTCTTCCATCGGACCCGCAGGAATTCGTTCGTACATCATCGAAACATGTTTGCATACATGATCGTTATACAATATTGTCTTATGTTTGCGTTTTTTTCCTATTTACGTTACAGGTCCGCACCTGCAGAAGGGGCAGCCGATGAGGCGCCAGCGGCGCCCGCGGTCAACCCGCAGCACCAGGCGGCATCGAAGCGGATCCAACAAACCCAAGCGCAAGTCGATGAGGTGGTCGATATAATGCGGACCAACGTAGAGAAGGTCCTCGAGCGCGACCAGAAGCTCTCTGAGCTAGACGATCGGGCCGACGCTCTGCAACAGGGTGCTTCGCAGTTCGAGCAACAAGCAGGCAAACTTAAACGGAAATTCTGGTGGAAAAACTGCAAGATGATCGCAATTATGGTTGCGATTGGAGCTGTCCTTGTTCTGATTATTGCCAGTGAGTTAACATTACTTTTCTATAAATCGCGTTAATCATTACCGCTTAAGAATAGCTCGATTAAGAAGAGCAACTATTGTTACTAGAGCAAGCAAGCTCCGAACTTCGTGTAAAAAACAGCTGAAACTAAATTTTTTTTTAAATAGTTAAAAAATAAGCTGAAGTATTTTTCTGATCGAAAAACTTAAGTGTTGAGTTACTATTGCATTCGTTGAACAGATCACGATCATGAAGCAGGATCAATGTAAAAAATGTGTACAGATAACATATACTACTTACCGTGTAAAAGGAACCTATGCAAAAGGAACTGTTAAGCTAAAGGATAAACGACCCAGATCTTCCAGAAGTTGGAAGCTGATATATAAATCCCCTTGTCATGAACCTAAGCTTCAAAAACGATTTTGAGTGGAAAAATAGCTGCCGTTTCCTACAACAGAATTAAGTTGCTAACGTTTTTTGACCCTTCTGTGCTTCTTTCTTTTGCAGTGCAACTGATGTAAGTCCAAAACCCACCCGGATTTTGGGCTGAAAGGCCGCGACCCACCCAGCCAGATTTTCATTCGCGACAGATCATGTGGTACTAGAATGTGATATGGTTTTGTCATGTCGTTGTCATCACTGGAAGTAAAGGGCACCAACGGGAATACGAGAAACAGCTCAGACAGAACATAGATCAACTCGTAAGCATGATAAATAATCCACTAAAAAAAGAATGCAAAACACATATGAAGAAAGAAACCAAGTTCACTAAATATATGATTGCAAAAGAATTCTTCTGTCTTAAAGACCGGAACAGCTATACAGAACAACATTTACGAAAAATGATAATGAGAACCTGTTAGCTTGAACATTTGCCTACCATCTGCGAAGCAAGCACATCAGGCCTATGTACCTCAAGTCGCATAGGGTATCGCTTCCCGGTGTCGAACTTGCTTCAACCGATTCTCCAACGACAGCTCCAAGCGTGATTCGAGCTTCGGTAGGCTAAAACGCCCATGCAGGCATCGTAGAACATCGCTTCGCCACCCCAAGCAGACCAGAACAACAGGGCAAATTTAACCACCACATATTAATGCCGCAGAATGTAATATAGCCGCTATAAGATACATTTATATTAACTGCAAGCCCGAAGCCGCTGCTTCCGTGGCCGCTTTCCTAGCAGCGGTTCTGCTGCCAGTAAATCTACAGAAGAAAATCTGTTATTTTATGTTATAAGAAGAAAACCAAACGTAAAGCTGATTTTCGCGTCTATCTATTTACATCTCTCGATTTACTCTAACTGCGGCTATTCTAGCGATGGCCAGTTGTTAACATTAATATGCCACGCTGTACATGGCGATTTTCCGATCACTGAAGTAAAAGTTTACTGCCCGTAGAAACAGTAAAGGCAAGAAGAACGCCGATCAGGGTGACAAGGAGAATTACGAGAGGAACAAGATAGAAGAAATGAAACATGGTGCGTTGTTGTAAATTCTAATAAGGGGACTGCTGCTGATAAGGAAATATAGCTAGCATCAGGATAACAGAAAAAAGAGTCCTCCAATTAATGTAGCAGCAGCATTATCAGCTAACATTCGAAGCAGTCGAAAAAAAAACAGAAAAGATAAAAAAGAAAAAAACATCAGAAAATATGAGAAAAACAGAAAACAAAGTGACGAGCAAAAGCAATAGAGCTTTGACAGCGTGGAAATCACTATCAAGGTAAGTAGCATATGGAAGCATTCTGCAATTTTCGCTCACTAACTACACACACATACATAAGCGATACAATAAAAAAAAAACAGGTAACAGCGAAACCTCCGCACCTGACTTATTCTCGAGCTAGTTCCCCTAACTCGCATCTGGTAAAGGGCACGTTGTAATCTGCACAGGAAATAATGTACTGACTGGCAGCCTTTACCATCCACGTCATAACGCCGTGACGTGCCTAACACAAGGCACGCACAGTTGTGTGACTAATAACTTTTTCCGTTCTTGTCAATCATCCTGTCAGAAATTCTGCCGCATCGATAAAAGGCAAGCGGCAAATTCTGTTGTGCGATATGTATATAGAAAACGTTAACAATATGGCAAGTATTTTCTTTGATGAGGTTTTTGATGCGTACAAGCTGCGCTCTTATGGTCGTTCCTTTTACCTACCGGTCTCATGTGAGCAGGAAGTTATCGGGGTGAAAAAGCAACACTAATACAATCATTTTCATTTGCTCTCTCACTGTCTCCCCTAATTTTCAGCAGCAATGGGACAGCCAGGCCTTTTCGGTAGATGAAGCGACTGCCGTCTGTTCAATGTATCGATACCTACAATATAGGGCGAGGTGCGTAATCGACTCTGCTGAAGCGGGTAGACTAAGCGAGTTCGAGAAATTGATTGACAGAACTAAAACTAAAAAAAATTATAGCTACAATACAAGCCAAGCCGCTCGTTACACACTCAAAATAGCGCCGCTTGGAGATAACAACTTCTGAACAGAGATCATCTACCACGTTTCAGTGAGGGTGATGCAATGGTCACATTTGTTACGTTATAGATCTGAGGCTTACGTGACCGGGTGTGAAATGCATAAGTTGATAAGCAGTTAGAGCAAGACTAATCGAAAAAGACCAATAGATAGACGCAATCAAATATAACACAATTAGTGACGAGCACTATTAAGATGATGATCCAAATGACAATAATAGCCCCCCTGAACCAAGCGGTCTGTTGCTGCGACAGCGGCACAACGATATAAAATGGTTGCCGAATGTCATAATAAATTTTGAACGGAATTAGAGTTGGTAGCTTTTCGAAAACTGTCGGCTTAGCGGCTTGTATAATCTTATTTGTATAGCCACAATAGCAGAAGAAGTCCAGGTTAAGAAAGCCCACCGAAAACAAAAACAGCATCTCTAACTTGGAGTTCTGCCATGAGCTAAATCACATACAAATTACGGCTCCACACAACAGCCGTGATACCACAGGGAACCACGCTTAGACCCGTGTTCACCTCAAAACAGCTAACTGACCGAGCTGTTTACTTAAAAAAATTTGCGCCGATAGCGTGTGCCGAGAGCTGTGCAAGAAAGGGGTATAGCCTATACAATGAGGCCAAGCCTCCAGGAACACCTAGGAAAACTAAGCGCATAGGCGGCACAGGATGACGCAATATTGCTGATGAACTTCTGCTATTGATTGATTGATTGTCGCAAGACTGTGGTGTACAGCTGATTTTCGTCGACCTGTACCGTTTCTCGTAAATGGACACTGGGTCCGTATAAAAGGAATTACCCCGGGAACTAGCCACGCCTTATCGATAGTTAGCATCTATATAGACCTACCTATACAATTCATTTGACGACGAGTACGATTATGAAGATTATGACGACAGAAAAATAATGCCTAGTCTAGAGCGCTGTGTCGGTCGAAAGTAACCGAGCGCCATGAGCTCTTGCAGCTTGACATATGTAATGACGGTAATAATGGTAAGTGATAAGACAATATTAGTCATAATGGCATATTTCTGCACACTCTTCCAAGGCGCAGCTCCTTTCTGCTGATCATTGACATTCAAACCTCGATCGAATACGATAAATGGCAAATAATCCTACACGATAAGCATAAGGCAACATTTTCTTGCAACGGGGCCAAGCCGGCTAGAAGAGAATCACGACAGTAACAACAGAAAATACGGACGTTAAGCGACTGCAGTAACATTGAAATGTAATACTGCCACAGACTTGTTGGAAAGCGTAATGCACGGAACGAAATCCAAGATGTAAATTGAAAATTGCCGAACTATCAACTACTCGATTCGCCTCGTGATTAATGGGTCCTTTCAACTCTAATACCAATTATCATGTCTGAATTACGTTATTTCGATTTAACGGAAAGTGGAGGCAGTTAGAGTGTGGTACTGACTGTTTTCATTCCCGTGCTCGGCGACTGATTCCGCTCGACCGTGGCAACGAACAACTACAAAAAGGCTTGTAGCAAACAAAAAAACGATAGTACTAATTATAAGGCCAACATTATGTACGTATTAAAGTCAAGAAAAAGCATAGCTGTTGCAAAAACAAGACCTTGCGAATCCATCTAATGTGCGTCTTATCTCCACGCGAACTTCTATGCCAGAACGTTGTGTAACGTTTTCTAGTAAATTCTGTGACCATTGCTTCGAACGAATCGTCGTTATAGCGGCTTTGTGAACGTAAGTATATTACAGATTTGCTGCACGCGATGCCTATCGAATTTTTTCATCTTACATGTGATTCTTCGCTATATCGACCAGTAACTCTTCAATATGCAGTCGGTTACGAAAAAACGAAACTATATCTAGCTATGTAAAACTTACCTGATAAGGTCTATTGTCAATTCGATTTGTTTCTGGAAACCATCAGCTCGCACGTAACATAGAGAACGCAGAAATTCGGTAACTGAAAACACGAGCAGTCGGTTTCAGTAACGTTCGTCTCCCATCAAGTACGATTCAGACGAAACAATCAACCTAACCCGATAGAATGTACCTTAAGGCGGGTAGAAAACGATATCAATAAGACGTGTATTTACGTACGACAACAGCTAATGTTGCTACTAAAAACAGAGCTACACATATTTGTAGGGTAATATATTCATGAAGAAGTTTTCGGCAGCGACGCCAAACATGTTCAGCGGGTAGACGATTACCAAAGCGAAAAGAAATAGTGCGACTGAGCATACAATTCATATAGAGCATAGAGAAAACATAAATAAAGACTAAATCATACACACACACACACAGTCACGCTAACAACAGTTGTACGAATAACAGCACTACTGACTAATGAACAGGATGATAATGATGAAGTACTGCATACTAAAGTAGTTGGTGACTTTGATAATTATAATCACGATAATATGATGATCATGATCGACCTGAGCAGACGCAAATGAGCGCAGAGAGCGAGCGTGCGAGCAAGAGAGAGAGAGAGAGAGAGAAAGCGAGAGAAATAGAGAGAGAGAGAGAGAGAAAGTGGAGTACTTGGGGAGTAGGAAGCGAGGAAGAGACAAAAAATGGGCCTAATGAAAACATCGTAATAACACAACAGAATACGAGTAATAGAAAAAGCAAACAAGAAGGAAGACGAGGTATAATATCTAGGGTAAAGAGGTAAACCATAGATTAAAACAAGAACTAAGAGGAAATGAGTACGCCGAAAACAACTGAGCCACGGACGACAATGGCAGGGCGTGCGTTGGCTGGTAAACGAATTGGAATAACGGGTGCGTGTCGGCGGCCGCCACTCAATATCACACGAGCATGAATAAAGGAGAACAAAAATAAGAGTTTCACACCAATAAAAAAGCGGCAAATTGAATAAATATGTAAAACAAACAAAGCTAACATTGAGGAACAAAACGCAAATGGTAACAGAAAAACAAATAGCAACAGCAACAACGACAACAACAACAACAGCAGCAGCAGCAGTAGCAAAAACAACGACAAAAACCATACGATGCCACGATAACAAATTTAGCATAAAGACAAAAAGGGTTTGTTAAACGGCTGTCAAATAGCAAAAGATGACATGGGAATGAGAAAAAAACAGGTGTGCGCATTGTTAAGGAGGGGGGGGGGGGGGGGGGCAGAAGCACAAGAAGGCAAGAATGAAGGAGAAAATACGCAGCCGACAACAGGGAAGCAACAGCATAAAACGATAGACACGAAGAACGCGACGAAAAAACGGAGTAAAAAGGCAATAGCGCAAAGCAAAAACGAAAGAAATTAACGCAAAACGAGAAAAATCAAGGTATGGGCAACCTATCAGCAGCAGCAATAGCAACAACAACAACAACAACAGCAGCAGCAGCAGAAACAAGGATGTCAGCCTCAAAAGATCACGCAAAACGTACACTAACAATCCCTATGGTGATAACAGCATCACCAACAAGAAGCGTTTTATATATATATATATATATATGAAAAAGCCGAATGCATGGAAAGCGATTGCAGGTGGGGCCAGGCGGAAAGAGTAAAAGGCAGGCAGACGCCATAAAAAAATATATGGAAAGCAACCATATATATACATATATATATATATATATATATATATATGGTTGTACAAACGTATGTAAAGATCTATAAGAAAGGAATAATATGACAAACACAAACGACACAACTTTTTGACTAGCGCAAGCGACGACATAAAGAGCATTGAAAATTAGCGATTGAAATGATCACAAGCGAAAGAAAAGGTATACGATACCTATCAAGTGAGGCTGTATTAGAAACTACAAAACAGTAAAGGTTTAGAATATCAAGAATTAGAAGAAAGCTAGGCTTTTTTCTCGTTGTCGCTTTGATCTGAGCAGCTGCTGCTGATGTCGAGTAACAAACTGAACAAAGATAAAGAAAAGCACCGAAGGGACATCAACATGATCATCGTTGTTCCTCCCGTACGCCTACCCGACCCCCCGCAACAAACATATACTATAATTATTACTCATTTATTAAACGACAGCAGCATGTTTGACTCGTTTGATTCATCATTTGAACAATTTATGACATCAGCGAATAAAGACGTACTTGCAATCGAACGATGAGATGGAGCGTATTGTCGATTTTCAGCGTTGCGTAAAGCGTGCGAAAATAAGGTTAGGGTAAAAAAATCATAAAAAACCGCATTCTGCATATGCGTGGGTTCTAGGAAAAGATAGTCATTAACATCCGCTTTTTCTAAGTTACGATCAACGAAACTGTTTTTTTTGCTTTGAAGAGGTCCAGGCAGCGGGACACCAATCTCGGCAGGTATCTATAGTTATATATGGAAGTGGTAGCGTAAATGAGTTGCTTGGTTTCTTTAAATATACTAATGGTCCTAAAAGAATGAAAATATTTGAGTCAATCTCGTTTGTATCAATGCACGAGCTGCAGTATGTTTATGTTTTCGGAGTTCCAGCCAGAGTTGGTCGACTGGAACGTCATTCATAAGCTGCACAGCGTTTTCAAGAAGCGACCTCTTGCGGATCAAACATGAAGACAACGATCATTGACTTATACGAGAAAAAAAAGCGTCAGGCGTGGAGCTCTGGCGCTTAGAACGATGTTAAAATTTCTATAAAAACACAATGACATGCGGATCTTATAAGGTGGGTTAGAGACGTTTATAGTACGTTTGACGAAAAGCACGTTATTGGGACAGCGTAAGAAATTGCAAAATACCTATAGGAAGGTATTACTTTTATATATAAATATTCCTGTTTTTTCACATCATTCCAATATTTTATTTTTTCGCTCAAATTCAGACTTTGAACAGTTTGTTTCACATGCATGCCTTAACTCTATTTAGGGTAATAAGGAGCTGACGTAGTTGAAATAGAAATTTGCTTCTGATCTTCGTCAAAGAGTATGAGTATGCACTGGAGTTAGCTCTTCAAGCTTTCACCTACCGAATACTAAATATTATGGACGCGCCCAGTTGTTACCAAATACATAGTCACCTATCTATGTTTCGTATTGTGTTTAACTATAACATTACGATAGACAATCGCTGAATTTACTTCAAGCCATCAATTCTAGTATAAATGGCACAAGAGTTTCCGAACGAATTCTGCTTATGCCCTATTCATGGTATAGAAAATAGGAGACCTTCTACTGAAATATTGTTGTCCTGATATAAGCAGTTGCCGAACGCGATATTGTTATAGTTTCTACAAAACGCTAATTGTCGAACAACATGTTATTTTCGGTTTACCCTACGGATTCGCAGGTTCAATATATAAAAGTTTACTTGCTATAGGCACGCATCGTGCTGGAACTGTTTCTTTCACTGTTGTACTCTTTCATACCGCCAAATTCACGCAAATCGCAATCTTGAAATTTGAATGAATTTAAATCACAGCAAGGTAAGGTTCATAACAGCGTCAGTTTCAGAAGAGAAAAGACATTTATTTATAAGTTAACTAAAAATTTGTACATACTATTCATGTAATCAGTCTCCACAATAATGCACTACGGTGCATTTTTCTAGATCTTCTTTATAGATGTCAACTACATGTACTTGGATGTGTTTAATTATGTAATAGTATGTGTATAGTTTAATATATTACAATAAAATGTAAAAAGCTTTTTCAATCTTCCAAACAGTGTCGCCAACGTAGTCACTCCCCCGTACAGTCAAGCTGCATCTGGGCGCAAAGGCACACCGGGCCATAGCAGAAGACCTTGTTCCAGCTGTGTCTGAGCTTCATTTAACGTACAATGTATGTTCAGGTAGTTGTCTACGACCCGCGACACATTCTTCATTAGGTCATTCATACCAATGTTAGTACCATGTGTGTATAACAATTTAGCAACACGCACTTTTTAGCTCACGTACAAAAGTGTGCATATCAAAAGCAGTTATACTGGACACATTTCGAGCGGGCCGTTTTGCTCAATTATCCAATGTTACAATTAAGGCTACTTAGACTGCAAATAAAATCCGACACGTCAACTCGTTTTAGATCACGTATATCTATGAATGCTAGAATTGCTCCTGTTCAGGTATTTTTCATGTACGTTTCTATGCGCTTGAATGCACTTGGGCATTTATGCTATACAAGAATACGTTTTTGAAATCGTTGTAATGTTCCCGTTAACATAATCGTCCGACTGCTCCACCTATTACACGTAGGCACTGCGCAGGTACGCAACTGCCGCCTATCGAATCTTGCAAGGTCCACATGTTACCTCGACACAAATTTCTACTCATAATCGTCCACATCGTTTGACTACTTTTATCCACTAATATCCCATCGTCCGCTTTGGTTAAAGCATTAAAGAGAAAAAGAAAAATGCTGTTGCTTTTATCTAAAATTAATAATTACGACTCGAACGTGGTCCTTTTCGCTGTCTCTTCGGCTACCTGCCAATGGAGCTTAAGTTTATTCTGCTTAATAGCGTCTTCAACGCGCTCCATCATTATCTTGCGAGTGACGGTCGCATCCTCGCTGGCGTACCCGCTTGCTTGCCACGCTACAGCAACCTTGGCTATCTCTCGGCCCGATAGACCATCGGTGCGCGATGCAACATCGGAACAGAGCGCTCCCCAGTCGAGTCCTTCCTCAAGTTTTAGGCTGCGTCGGCCAACGCCAATACTCGCCAGGACAAAGCGCTCGAAGTACAACCGAACCAATCGCTCACGTTCCTCAACACCCGGCAGTTTGAACTCAACCATTTCGTCGAGACGATCATTAATAGCAAAATCGAATTGTTCAGGCGTATTGGAAGCTAGCACGACCATGATCTTCTTGGATTGATCGCCCGTCCGGAACAGAAAGGCGTTGAGTGACGAACGAAGTTGCTCCGAGATGTGCTCAGAGGTACGTTTGCGTAAGAACGCGTCAGCCTCGTCAATAAACAGTAGTACACCCTTGCGCGAAGTTTCCGACCAGTCGAACAGCTTATGAATAGCCGAAACACCTTCCGCGCCCATTGGGGCAACGTCACCTCCGCTCATCACGGCATAGTCCAATCCTATGTGAAAATAACAGTGAAATTGAACGACAGAAAAAAAACGAATATGTATCATCTAATTCATATATAGGCCGTGCGCTCTTTATGTTTTGGACACGCAATCAAATTTCAAGCACTGCAACAACTGCTTTTAGAATTTTGATTATCGTCGATGCGTATAGAGTTGTAAATAAGATAAAACACTGATGATAGCAGTCGATTCAAACCTGAATGAAATGCAAGCCTTTTCGCAAATAGCGTTTTCCCAGTTCCTGGCGGCCCGTACATGAGAATATTACGAAGATAACCTCCGTTTTGTTTACTGTTCTTCGTCGCAATCGCTATGTCCCGAAGTCTCTCCTCCAATGTTGGCTATAGACGTGAAAACGTACGTAAAATGTTATTCATACTAGAGAGGAGTCACAGCACGGATCCGCGTCATCTGTAGATGCCATATGAATTTCATCTAAAATAATCAATAGCTACTACCCGTATAAACACCGGCCCACAATGAGTTTTTTAACTTTTTGCTAAACTTAATTTCTCAAGCTACCGTATCTTCAATTAGAACTCCTAAAAAAAATCATATGAAAACATTGGTAGCTTTGAATGACAGGATAAATGTGATAGAGTGCGACCAGTTTCAAATCAAACCGGTATAAAACATGAGTACGAGGGAACATTTCTTGTGTTCAAAAAAGCAATTTAAATCACAGAGCATCACTCGACACACAAACCTGAAGCACGACGCCTTTCAGTATATCCTCTTTAGGGCGAGTTATTCTTTTCACTGTCTGAATCGGATGTTTAACGAGCTGGCCGGCAGTAAGTCGTGAGGTTTGTCGAACTAGGGACGGTTTTCCCAGCCTGAGTTCAATATATTGTCCGATGATAGAGATACCCATTCGAGCGGTGTAGACACCCCCTGCTAGCATAGAGAGACCAGCCGCAGCTGTGACTACCTGCAAAGGACATAACGGGATTATTGGTGCCTGAATGAGTCAATTAGGTGTAACCAAAGCAAAATGTTTTACATCAAAGACAGATATAAACGTCATTGATTTTAAGAAGAACATGAAGTATGCTTTCTAAAGGCTGTGCAATAAGCAAGGTAACCCGTCCCAAAATAAAAGCTATTTCACCTACACAACGTAAACACGCAGCAACAAGCAAATTGTTACCTAACAATATGAATATATACTAGTCAGTCGTAGTCACCTTGTCCCAGTTAGAAACAAAAGCGTTCAAGCCTGCGCCTAGGACACTGCCAGTAGTCTTTATCGATTGGAGGATTGTTTCACGGTTCTCTTGGGCCTTTAAGCGAACCTGCTCCATATTTATGTCGTGATTTTCGCGGGCCATCTTCGCTTGAGCTTCTACCTCGGCGCGAACCCGTTTGATGTCATTGTCACTGCGCAGCTGCATTTCATGCTCAATGGTGGCCTTTCGCATGGCTTCTTGTTTAGCGGTCGATTCCTCCTGTCGACGCAGCTGTTGTTCCTGCGTCCGCTGCTGCTGAATCAGCTGGTCTTCATACCTGCCAATGATGTACGAAATCGCCAGTTTTAGAGAGCTTGCCTTTCCTGTAAACCTCATGCCGCATCCTTGTAAATTTCACTCGATTAGAGATTCGAAACATTGTAAATAGCAAATGACAGAAACTATTTTGTCAGAAAGAAGGTTTCAATGATAGACTTAGCGTATTACAATATTCGTTGAAGTATTTTGAAGATCCATCAAGAATGAAGGCTACACAAGTTAACACCCCATATGGATGTCCAACATATTACATCTGGAAAATTCATGTACCGATAAGCTTTTAATATAGCTGACCTTTTCCTAGCTAGTTGGTCTTGATACTCAGCTCGGGCCTGTGCCTGTCTAGTTTCCTCTTGTAGAGTTTTACGTTTCTCTTCATTCATTCGTTGCATTTGTCCAGCCTTTATATTCTCCATCTCCAGCTCAATTTGCTTGATATTTCTTTGGTGCTCCAACTGAGCTGTTGTCTCCTGCATCTTCGACAATGCGATAGCCTCTCGGCCATGACCTTTAATTATCATATTATTTAATTATTATATTAAAGCATATACGTTTTATAAGCAAAACTTACTATTTCAAAGATGATTATCGAACACAAGAGATTCAGTACATATTCCAATACATGCTGTAGGGTTGATTGCCTGAGGTGGAGTTTAGGGGGTGCGGTCCAGGATGGGAATAACTTCAACGTAATTACCTACGTATTCTATGCCGTACGTAAAATAGGAATATATTTCTACGTAAAACTGCGCCACAATGCTTGGCTGATGGACTCGGATCTGTACCAGAGTTTTGAAGACTTGCAATTACATAAGACCATCCTTGGAGATCACTAAGCTATTTTTAGGAAATAAGAGAGCTAACCAAGAGATGAATGTCGTGCTTATAGAGTCTCGAAGCAAGCGACCCAACACGACAACCCCAAAACAAGCTATGCGTACTTCACTTGTTACACTTTGTTAATTGCAGCTTTTAGCAGTATGCATCACAAAGTTTATTTGTAATGACTGCTTCCCAATCAAACAAAAAAGGCATATCTTCTCGATAATTTCATAAGACTGTTGATAAGTTTTTACAAATCTATGTGAACTATTAATGGAGATACGTATACTCATGATTGTAGATATATGCTAAAACTGAGTTTAGATTATAGCTTTAATAGTTAAGTAAATCAACAACCATGAAATGATACAAAACGCAATGTAACAGTAGATATAACTCGATATATAATGGCTTAACAAACAGAAGTGAAACCGTGGTTGATTCCTTATCTTGGTGTTGATAGGCACAATTTGAATGTTGCATATAAATGACAGTACTAGTATGCGTCACGCGAAATGCATACTATTTATCTGGCATTACGGCGTGTAGGCAAATAAAGAAAATAATTTTTTTTCTTTTTTTAATTTAGATGTTATATTTTTTCGTATAGCAACTTTATTGCATTATTTCTCTTTTTTTCTACTGAACTTTATAACACACTTTTTCAATACACCGCATACATACAATTACTTATGACGTACGTAAAGATGCACGATAAGAAAAAAAATTGTATCGAAACTAAACAGCGAATTTAAACAGGAGGAAGTCATAGCAAATGCTTCTTTACACTTTTCTCAACACCATATAAACGTTGTAGTTTGAAAAGAGCTTATTCAGTAGTCGAGCGAGGGGCCTTCTGATTTAGCACGCTCATCACCGCGTTTTTACGTTTATGACAACGTACAGCATAAACATAAATACACTTCCTTATTGTAAACCGGTCCAAAATAAAATGAAAAAAAAAATTAGGTTCTTATTCTGACATTGCGTCATATGAAACTCATTTAAATTAAGCGTATGATTTGCCTAGAAACGCACAGATGTAATAATATGGTACATTTTTCTTTTTACCGTTTATCTTTATATAATTCGGAGATGCTATTCTTGGTAAATTTTGTTACGGTTTCGGTGTTCTCAGTGTACGTAGCTACACTTTGCTCCACGCGGTCATTTTCGGCCACCGAGCAGCGGCATAAAAGTCTGCTTATTCAAACAGTCATTCGAAGCGCAAGCTCCGCGCAGACACCCTGACCTCCGCACTTCGACCACAAGCCAGTTAAACCAATAGTCAACTTTTTTCTACTTACGTGACGTTTCCAGTTCTCGTGCGGCTTTTGCAGCACGCTCAAGGGCGGTCGAGTCAAACTGATAATTAAATTTAGCACCGATCTTGCCCGAATCACCGACTTCGATTTTCGGTGGTAGTCCGTCACCGCCACCTCCATGGGCACCTTGAATATCAGTCGGCTTCTGTCCATACCCAAATATCCACGACATGTTGCAGTTTGTTCGTTAACAAATTCAGCAGTCACCAACCTCCGGATCGTTCAAACACTCCGCGCACGCTAAACTTCCGCTTATTCAATGCACCAGACGAGCTGTCGACTCGTTCCGCGCGCAACACTACGCGGCACGGCGAATAACACTGCTTGAGATAAAACGAAACAAGCAGGCGACCGGGCAATCCACGTGCTTGTTTGACCATCAAGTCATACTGTGTAAACAATGGAAAGGCGGTTAATGAGCGCAGGTTCGACCAATTCGATAAGCTTCGATAACCGAAACGATTCATACCTGGGTCTATGGAGCGGTGGTGATACAATTGATTCCAGCCTTTAAAGAATGGTAGCATATAATCTGGGCATAATATAAACATATCTATTAGCAATGATTTCGACCCGGGTTAACGTTGACGATTTAGTTTAATAACGACGATTTCGTGCCATGACCTTCTAATGCACAAAAGTAACTAAGAAAACTAACTTTCTAATTCGCTCGCAGACTTTCAGCTGCAAGTATTGAAAATATCTTGGTTTAAATGGATTTACTGTATCTTAAGTGACGCCTGCTGTTCAGAGCGCCAAATAGGAATGCGATCATTCAAGTTGATGTAAAATCTCAACCTAGCTGAGCATATGCGCATGATACTAACAGCGGCCATTGCATGTCCCTAACAAAGACTTTGAGAACGCACAAAGAAACAAAACATTTCCGTCTCCCGTTATAAGAACTGGGCGTTCTAAGCCGCCAATATAGCGCAAAGCAGTAAATAACATTAACAAGAATTTCGAATTTATAACAAGATCATTTACACGATCAATATTAACATTTCATTAATAACTAACAGCTTATTACGAGATGATACTATGTGTCGATCGATCTATTCCATATACAGTTGACCTTAAACACTTCTTTCCAGTCTTTACTTCACTTACTATCATAAAAGCGTATACCAGCCAAGCAGGTCATAACACTACTGCTCCGAAAAAACGCCATCATCCACATATGGTAGGCTTTGTTAGATGGACCGGTGTGATGATGACCACAACAAATTGCAATGCCACTGCCTGAAAGAATGGCCTCTTCGCTACTCGTCGAAGGAACAGAGTCTGCAGAGCAGGATGATGTTGTGGTACAAGGTACGTACAATAAACTAAACAATGCGGGAAGGTGAATGCAAATGAAATTTGAAGGATTTTGACATACTCCGGAGGTTACTCCGGACAAAACAACTATAGCCGCTCGTTGCGTCGTTTTACAAGCTGTACAGATCCTGTTCATCAAACATGGTTTTATGAGCGTTTACGTCATACATCAATACTGTTAGTTGGAAACCAGTAGTCTAAAGATTTAGTACTCCAAAGATGGGAGACGACTTCAAAAAGAGATACCGCATTTTCATATTTCCACTCCATAATCCATACTCGTAAATGAATACGTACGTAGATATCTGTGATTAGCGATGCAATGTTAAAAGAGGCAGTAAGGATCGTACCTATTGTATTTATATATAGCTGGTTCGAGCACTAGCTGAGTGCCAAAACGAATTAATAAGACGACAACACAATTACAGTAATTTTCTGATATTTGAATAAGATTTGTTTTTATGAGAAAATTAAATTTGAAAATCGGAAGGACTATATATGTTGTATGTGGTCGATGTAAATCGACACATCAAATAATATTAATTCGGTATTGGGTTTTGCCTTTCGAACAATCACTACTTCTATTGTATATTCTCAACATTTAAAATGTGAAAACGAGGGTAACTACTATAACAGTTTTGGAAACGTGTATATGAAGCTATGATCACCTTTTTTGGATAAATAATAAATATGCTATTGATTTTAAATATGGAATTAAAGGTAAATATCTAGGCTACTTGAAAATGAAACACTTATTGTTTATGAATTTCTCGTCTAGTCAAGGTAGTTATAAATCCAAGCAAAAAAGTTTTCGACGAATGATTGTATTGGAATACAAAACATACAAAACAGACATTTTAAATAATTATCTTTGTTAACCTCAAAAACATATGGGTTAGAGATAACGTGGATAGGAAAAACAATTTGAATTTCTGCATTTTTATAAATTTCAGAGGGCTCGATGGCAGAAGTCGAGCCAATGGAAGATCAAGTTGAAGAAGCTAGTGGGGTGGTAAGTTCTAACTAACATTGAATTTATTTCATTTACTAATAGATGTACTAAGAATTATTTACTGTACATACCATGGTCCGCTGTACGTCTTGGTTTCTTACTGCTTACGTGATTTTTTATATTTGTTACTGATATTATTATTTAAATTTTATTATATATTATTTATAAGACGATGTTGGAAACGTATAGTAACTACTGAACTCTTATAATTAAGAAATATCTTAATATTAGGACACTATTAGCCGGACATAAATATACGTATCATAATTTACATGCTCCAGTGACTTATCTGGCCATATTTCTACCGTGGTTTTTACTCCTAATGCAATAAAACGAATAAATACAGTAACAGTTTAAAATAACTTATTTATCTATAGATCTACAAATGTGGCGAGTGTCTAACTTTATTTGAAAATGAAGACGAGGCCAATGCCCACGTTCAGGAGTGTTCCCTTCCGCTTATAGAGGAGACCGTCGCCGAAGAAATTTCTGTGCCAGAAGATCAAGTGATACAAGATGAAGAAACCGAATTCCAGGTGATGAAAGTCGGCCAACATAAAATATATATAAAGTTTGTTAACGCATACGTTTAAACAACGATCCCGAGGCATACTTTGGATATATGATACATAATAAATGATTTGCTCCTTTTTAAGTGACCTTAATAGAATATCTTGATAATAACATGCGATCATACGAAAACAATGCTATAATGTTTAGGCCTAACGCTATAAGAAAACCATGTGCTGGGACGTTCGTTCGTTTATCGGCTTTGTGCTGCAGTATTATAATCGGATTAGCTCATCGTGTATTCGTATGTCCTCTTTGCACCGCTCATGAACTTAGGCCGTGGAGGAAGTCCGCGAGGAACAATCCGAGGAACTAGTAACCACCGCTGACGCTCAAGAAGACCCATCTGGCGCCATTTCACGGGATCAACAACAAACGGTCGTATTCGAGTGCCGTACGTGCGGACTACGGTTTCGAACGCCTCACGCATACGCCAATCATTACGTATCAACACACGCTGCATCATCGACAGCCTGTCCGATATGCGGGAACTGGTAAGACACGTAGGGCCCGTCGCAAGATATCTTGTAGCCTCCATCCATCCATCCATGTAGATCCATCGAAGTTGAGTAGGTTGGCATTAGTTGGCAAAATCAAAAGAACAATGACCATCGTTATTGTCGTGATTGTGCACATATGGTTTACTATTCTGATTGCTGGTATTAAAATGATTGTTACCTTACCAAATGGTTCAGTCTGAATATCTCAATCTTGTTCTACAGGTACTCGACTCGATCCAATCTAAAGGCACATATAATGTTACACACAGGGCTCCGTCCACACGCCTGTCCCATTTGCAACAAGCGTTTTGCTGTACTTAGCAACTTACGCTGCCACCTAAGAATTCATGAGAATCGCGTTAAGTGTCCGCACTGCCGACGAACACTAGCGTCACCGGCTGAGCTCGAAAGTCATACAAAAACAGCCCATGCGGCTGTCGTGGCCACTGGTTCAAACTTATCCTGCCCATATTGCCAGAAAGAGTTCTCGCACGCTAGCACCTTGCGCGGCCACATACGAAACCAACACACGGACGGTGCTCGCAATCTTGTTTGCGAATACTGTACGAAGGAGTTCAGCAACCGGTCTAACCTTGAGGTAAGTACGTGCGCGGTTACATTATATCACATCATATATTAAAATAATATACAAATTCCCAAACAAAGATACATATTGAGTAACGTTACTACTCACAGACACGCACGAAAATAACTTATTGTATTGTGGCTGAAGATTCCTACAGTGGACATAGCTGGTTACCAAGCAACTTCTCATTTGAAAGTCTTAGTATTGTTGTAACTAAAGACGTTTTTCAAAGTATTTCTCTCAAATCGCTAGTTGACTATTCTTTATACGTACGACATAAAGAACACCTTTAAGCGAGAATTTTTCCTTGTTTAAGTGCGACGAAGTGGGCACTATAAGAAAAATTACTGGCCCATAATCTGGGCAGCGTCAAGTACAGCTAGTAGATTAACGAGCACACATCTTATTTTATGTAAACAGAAGACCTCCAGAAGTATTGATGCCACGCCAGAACTATAATTTCTGAGTGCTAGGTAAGAACTTTTGATATCTTGCCAAGTATATTAGACTTCCATTAGCTTTAAAACTCTTTCTTTGAGATGTCCTCATCGACGAAATTCCTATGTTCACGCTGAATGATTGTGTCTCTTGATGCGCTGATTACGCCGTGCTTCTTCACAGGTGCACATTAGAAGTCATACCGGCGAGAAGCCTTTCGAATGCGGGAAGTGCGGCCGGGCGTTCGCGGTGATGAGCAACCTCAAAGCTCATCTCCGCATTCACAACGGTGATCGGCGTCACCCGTGCAATCAGTGCAATAAATCCTTTTACTCAAAATTTGATTTGCGTCAGCACAGTTACACGCATACGGGCGAACGACCCCACGAATGCGACCTCTGTGGAGAACGATTTGCCAAGGTCGGCAATTTGAACGCTCACCGAATGACACATATCAGCGAAAAACCTCACAAATGCGAAATCTGTGGGGCGGGATTTTCCAAGGCCGAACTGCTTAGCAAACACACGAGGCGGTTCCACAATCCGATGAATACGCAGTGTCCATTACAGTGTGCATTCTGTGGACAGTACTTCCAACAAGTGAAACAGTGCCGTGAACACGTAAAGGAGGCACATGCTGCCGACTCATTAAGCGCTAAAGTCTGCTGCTCGCATTGCCCTCGAAAGTTCGTCACAGAAACACAGTTGGCCGAGCATGAAAGAACACTGCACAAGCTTCAGGCCACCCTTTTCTGCAAATATTGTCGCCGGCCATACGCGAATGAGTCGAAACATCGGAAGCACGAGGAGTCGGGGGTGTGTCTTCAGCGGCGATGCAAAATTTGCTGGCGCCAATGCAAAAGCCCTAGCGACTACGAAGCGCACGTGCGGACACACAGCGATGAACGACCATTCGCCTGTGAGATATGCGATAAACACTTTAACAAAGAGGTGAATCTTGTCCGGCATCGTTTGGTCCACAAGGGCCTCCGATACAACTGTATGGTGTGCTTTAACAAATTCCTTTCAGAAGCGGCTATTCATAAACATATGCAACAGGCACATCCGGGCATGTTCCGTGGCAAACTCTACGTAAACGTTACAGATGGGACAGGCGGTTCAACAAAGTTGATCATTGTTAATGCTCCTAATGACGAAGGCATGTTGCTTGAAGGAGCCCAGGTAGTGATTCGAGAGGGCCATCAACAGGTGGTTCAGATCGAAGGAACAGGTCAGCAGCAAGAAAAACAATTGCAAGTACTTGTTAAAGGTGAATCTGGAGCCGCAATAACAGAAGGACTACTTGAACATGTCGAAGAGGGTGAGGCAGAGGCGGTGGCATTAGAAACGCTTCATGAGGGGGAAGACGTCTCACATTATGAAACAAGTCGTTATGTAATGAGAAGCAGAGTAAAGCTGATCACGTAACTTGATCGTACGACACCTTATTAATCAATGTTATATAAAATTTTTCATTACTAGATGCTTTTGGAGCCATACGTGTTGTGTAGATACGACTTATTTGGATCGAGTCTGAAATTAAAGAAGGGGTTTTCCTTTGTGTGTAACGATGCTGGTTTCTTATTCTGGTTTCGCTAGGGTTCTCTAGGCCATCATACAAAACTATAATTCTTCGATCTATAATTTGATCCAGCTTTGGATACTGTAAGTTAAACTGAATAAAATATATTGTACATAATGTGTATAGCGGTTTTTTCAATTTCGGTTTCTACCACCGGTTTATATAGTAATCAATAAAAAGTTGCGTGTCACGTAATAGAATCTGTTAACTATCAACCCTTTTCAAACTTATATCGCCAAGTGGACCACAAATTTCAATAAATTGGTTGTTCAAAGATTGTCCTAACGTACACAGGTTATTTTACTGGAGAGCTTTGTATGTTAAGTAATGCCTGAGTAAAATTAGTATTCCACAATTGTAGTTAGAATTAATAATCTGGAACAACCTAGTGCTTGAACTCTGACTACTCTGGAATTAATTAAAATTGTTATTATTATTTTAATAATTAAAACTGTGAAACCGTTTGAGAATAACAAAAAATCTCTAAATAATATCCTAACCGGAGGCAACCTCCGTATTGTCAGCACTTTAACCTTTAATCATTTTTCAAGCTACTGAATTCAACCACAGGAAAGTATAATCTGTAAACTGTAGAAACTAGTGAATTTTTTGACTAGAAGTTACTTATTAGCAGTAGACTCACATGCAAGCAGTAGCCTAGTCAAGTGTTTAATATTTAAATCTAGGTATTTCACATGAGTTCAATCGGATACTTACTGCATTTATTATTGGGCGGCAACCCAACTCAGACTTTTTGAAACTAGACTTATTTAAATGTGACAGATTACTGTCGATTTTTTAAGAAATCCTTTTACAAAGGAGATCTTATGTAGACGAATGAAAATTATAGGTGTTTAGTATATCATATTTGAAGGTTAAACAACGCATTCTACGTATTTTTGGAGCTTGCTACAAGATTCGATGTGCAGGAATTAGCGTAGTAGCCAAAAGCATCCAGAAAATAAATCAAGACTAAGAATCGAGAATTGGATTCGAGAAAAACAATACAGGAATAAGCGAGGTACTTGTGTTTCTTTTTTCAAAAACAAACGAAACACATTTGGTTCACTCAGTTTGGTTTGCATACCTCCACCGCTAAATCAGGTGTGGACATACCAGAGATGACGGCAAAACACAAACGCATGTGTGCCTGAGTTAAAAATTTCTTTTAAAAATGTTTGTTTTGGTATCATCATTAAAACGAATTTTCTTCACAATAATGCATATTCTCAAATAAGCTATAGTATAGTGATTTCTTTTCCTAGGTAAATACTTGTGTATAATCACTATTTTTACAGATCTGGCACAGGTAACAAACACGATTAGCCTAATCGTTCTTTTAAAGCCAACGATTGACTAATGTCATCAAAATTAATCAATATACTAAAAAATTTCTTTCCAAAATAACTATGTTTTGCTTACGATACCAAATGTCAACGATGTATTTGACGTAACCTTTATTTACCTATCTCCACATAACGTCTTGCGTAAAGTCTGCTGAACTCAACTGAAAAGCCGCACTGACCACTAAATCAGACAGTTCCCCATGCAAATCGAACAAAGCGCCAATAACACAGATGGGTAAAACTCCGAAAAAAGATAACATAATCTTAATTTTATTTACTGATCTAAATTTACATAAATATGTACTCAGCACTTGGAGTGGTGGAGGCGTCTGTTTGCGTTTTTAATGACGTTCTTTATCTGTCTGTTGTTGTCTGTTTGAGTGTTTGTTTGTGTTTATTGTTCCCTTTTTTACTGTAACTCTTGTATTATTGTATCTCTATTATGGTAGCGCTGCGGAGTTCAACACTGTCTTTTCTGCTTTTCTGTGATTCGCGTTTATCTTCTGCATATAGAAGACGCGCGTCAGCGGAGAATACTTTACATTTCTCTGTTCATTTATTTCGTCTCTGTTCATCTATTTCGCAGTATGCCTTCTCCTTTTCACCATTGTGTTTAAACTATTCATTATTCAATGCGTTGTCTCTTCCCGTATCCATACTTTTTCCTATTCAAAAGACTTTCTTATGTCGAGCTTCCTCTTATCGTCCGTCTTTACTTTTGCTATGCAACGGGTTAACGACCACAGCAAGCTAGATACACGAGATACAATTTGCTTTTGTCTCTGAATTAACTGTTGTTCCTAACTTACAACTTGCGATACTCGTATCTCCATCCATTCGATAGTTTGTTACCACGTGCACTGTTTACTTTTGTCATCAAGAATCCTCTTCTTACCCCAGTAACTGCTTTCCACACCTATTTTTAGGATAGTCACTACTGACTATTTTACCAACTTGCCTAGTACTTATTTACTATCAGTACTCACGCTCCATCTTCCCCTTAGAAATTCTCTCCATATTTTTACCCCTCCTCATATCAGTCGGAGTTAAGACCACGTACCCTCTTCAGTCAGTCGAGCAAGACCTTCTGCTGTCACTGCTTTTACGATATACCTTGTGGGATTTATTATATATAGTTTTTATATATAAAATATTTAGGCCCCCACAAGCTAACCAACCGATAAACACGCTGTTTTTTTTTCGCTTTGATGATTTGTCTTTTTCGACTTTTTTCCTTTATTTGTCGTTATTTTATCGTTCGACCACTTATAGTAATGAGAGGACCCGCTCGTGTGCTATCTTGGGTTTCACATACACACCTTGTCTTTGCTAATATTCTTAATTTTCACACTTCAGGGCTATAGCAATAACTTACTTGTTACCATCAGCGTCATCATTATCATCATAATCGTATTTCGTAATAGTGCTTTTATCGAACCTTTTCGGTTTTTATAATATCTATATGTGAGTGTATATAAATTAATTACATCAGGATGATATCATTGTATCATAATGGGATAGCCTGCAAAGGTAATGTACACAGAGCTTTCGCATCAACTGGCGTTTGTTATCCTTTTGTTTAAGTTCCGTGTTTACGTACTGGTAGATGTGTTTTTTGCTTTAAAATTGCTGCTATTGTTGTTAGTTTTGTTTTTCTTTGCTATTGTCATTGTGTGGTTAGCTCAAGTGATTGTTTTATTAATTTTAATCGAACTTTTTGTTGATGCGGCGAGGATTTTGTATGTCGTTTGTGTGTTTTAGTCATCATTATCAATATACCGTTATTAGTATACTATTATATATTACAATGGAAAAACATTTCCACTTCATCTCCTAAGCTGTCCCATCCTGAGTTCTTACCCTAGACGATGATCAACCGTTGTAAAGAGGGGTACCTAGATGCAGGCGGTACTCTCTCTCGTATCCTACGGAGTTGAGCTCAAAATCTATAGTTATATTCCACTTCGGGTATTACTTTTACGGTATTACAGATTTTCTCATCGACCAACTCTACTACAACAAAGTTTCCGTCACTCCCTTCTGTTGTTTTTGATATATATATATATATATACATATATATATATATATGAGTGACCGACAAAAAAAATAATATTATATAGCAAGACAGATATAATAATAAATAGAAAACATTTTTTAGTGTAATAGTAAGTATTCTAATAACAATAGTAATAATCCGCATTTTTTCGCATCACCAACACAGATGTTTGTCTTATTGTCGACTGTTGGTTTTTTGTCATTATGCCCACTTCTGTATAAAGAGGACAACCTCAGTTTCTTTTTTCGCTTCTTGTTTCAGTTTAGTCTTCTTATTATGCCCTATACGTTCTGGTCATGTATAGTTTTCGTAATGTATAGCAATAGTATGATTAGTATTACTAGCAGTAGTTTGTTATTACAGCAATGTAATTATATAACAGCAAAATTTAAATAGTAATGATATTCTTAATTACCATTGATTGACAGATAATAATCAAGTGTGTATATATATATACACGTCTGCACGGATGACATTTCTGGTTACTTCCTCTTGCTAACTCGCGCCTGTATTATCTTGCCCATGTAGATCAATCATATTGTTAGCTTTATGCTCGTAGTAAGGTAATTCATGGGTGATTTGGGTTTCCACATGTGCAATCGAAATGTGCGCCTGTTTTGATTTCTGTACATCCTCTGCAGCAGCAGCAGTATTTAGTGATGTATGAGTGTGACCTCCGCACGCGTTTATCCATTTTGTGTGTATATCGTTTGTATGTTTTGTTGCTTTGTTGTATTCTACGGTGTTGTCTATAAATTGATGTGATGCTCCTCCAAGAGTTGAAATAATGGCTGCGGTCAGGTCGTTGTCGCCAAAACATAGGCAACACGGCCGCATGTACCTCGTGCACAACAACAGGTTATGTTATCACTCTGTGGCAGCGGCACCGCAGCGTGGGACGACAGAGCATCAACCTTCTCTCTCTCCCTTCCTCCCTTTCCTTACCTCCCTTCCTCCTTCCCCTCACTCGCTCTCTCTTTTCATATATATGATGGCGATAAATCTATATCTACCTCTCTTGTATTTTATGCTTCTCTTTTCGAGCTTCTCATCACAATCGTTATGATCGCATAGCCATCATCACCATCAGCATGTATAACTATATGAATGTATATTTCATATTTCGGAATCTCCACCTTCTTCGCTGTTCGACCAAAACCGAAAAAAAGAAACTTTACTTGTCTGTCACTACCACACATCCGTCTCTCGCCTCCGAGTGCAATTACATGCCACCCCTTGAGGCATTGTTACGTTGCGCATTGATGCTGCCGCCGCCACCACCGCCGCTGTGTGCGCAAGCTAAGATCGTTGCTGCCAGCTGTAGTAGTTTCCTTGTTTTCAATATTATTTGTTATTATTCTCATTATCATTTGTTGATTGAGCCACTCGTACCGCGCTCCGTATCAGCCACACATTTTACATAATTATCAGCATGATCATCAGTTTCATCATCAGAAATCGGTACAGCGCCGTTATTGGGGCTTGGTGATTCAGCGCTTGTTTTTTTTTTCGTTTGCTGTTAGTTTCGGCCTTCATTCACTTTAATCCTTACTATCTTTTCATTCCGACGGTTTTTAACATCTAGACATCTATTAGCATTTGTTTACCGTCACCATTTTAATCATGTTCAGGGGGCTCGTATTAGTCAAATACAAGTTCCTTGTAGAGCCCGTCGACTTCGAGCCCCCATCGTCTTACTACTTCACATGTATTTCTATCAGCATAGCACAACACCCTGCGCTCCACCTGTACAACACATACATAGAGTGCTCTTGGATGCACATCGCGGTCTGCAGCTGTACTCGGCATCGTAATCATTTACCATCATGATGTGAAATGTCATCTGTATCAAGCGCACGTTCCTCCAGTATCGCATCACGCTTTGACATGACACATGCTACTACCGCCTACTCAGCATTGCTGCCCCCAGCCGAACCAGGTCAACCAATGGATTATCGGTGTTCCCTAGCAGAAGTGCGAAGAAGACATTCTTTTCTATGCAATACAATATAATCAACCGGGTACGACCCCACACGAGGGAACATTTAGTCCAACATGTAACCCTCTCCCGGTCCGAATCACAAGAGAGCGTATCGAGTAGTGTGTTACTACAAGAACATATATGAGTATATATGTTTATATTATTTCTCATTATCTCTACCTTATCGTATATAAATGAGTTGTCACTCCTTGATGTCATTCTTATCTTTTCGTTCATTATGAACATGGATATCTACGGATCGACCGGCAGTTCTGCCAGCCGTATTAGTGATGGTACTGTTGTAGTAAGAATGAAGAGGAATTGCGTTCTTGGTTTTTGCGCGCAGTGAATTCGTTCAATGCCTACAACTCTGTTGCTGTAGCTGTTAGTCGTTTTCGTTGTTGCTGCGGCAGCTGGTGGAAGTAAATACGCACTATAGAGTCGCCGCCACCATCGGCCCACCTACGTGTAAATGGCAATCGCATACTACGCCGCAATGGGAGCAGAGCACGGCTGGTTGATCATCGGTGTTGCGCTGGCATGGCACTAGCAGTAGTAAAATGATTTCGGCTAGGCATCTTTTATTGTACACTTCGTTGTCGTCATCGGCTAGTACCCAAAAGATCCTTGATACATATCCAAAACGACATAGCACGCTCAATGAGTTGTAGCGGCGATCTGATCGGATTTTTCGTCATTCAGCCACTGCAGGGATCCCCGCCTGCCAATACATCTGTGCCACGTGCGTTACGTAACCTAAGAGAGGGAACTACTGTAGAATTTGCGGTGTAACCCAATGGCATTGAACAGTATTGGCGGCATCAGAGAGGACGTCGGCGACCGATACAAGCATCGAGATTAGTAACACATCATATCGCACACTGACGTCACGGCGCTAACAGGAATCTGATGTTGATCTTGTGTTCTTGTTAATAGTAAATCTAGGAAAAAGAAGAGACGGTCACTGGTTGGCATTAATATATGCTGCTGGTATGCGATAGCGTCGCGCACGCGATCCGTTGGGTCAATCAATGATGCAAAACGATTATCACCACCGACATGCAGTAGCGTCGTACAGCCAAATTAATTCGTAGCGCCTTCTGTGGCGTCGAGGTGATTTTTTTGCTGTTCATATCCGCTGCTGATTTTGTAGCTGCTGTTGTTGTCGTCGTTTTTGCTAGGCCTGCTGTTGCTTTGTGTAAGTCTACTCCGTCTTCTTAGATTTTCCACGACCGCCATCATCATCACCATCTTGTTTTTAACATATAATAGTTAATAGTTTTATTTCTTGCATTTACCTATCTATCTCTCGTTTTTCACGTACGTTTTTGCTTTTGCTGTTTCTGTTGTTCCCTGTGTCACGTTTCGGTTTATTTCTAGTTCCCGTCCATCCGTCTATAGGTCTGTTCTCGGATTCAGCTTTTTCTCCTATATCTTGTTGCAGTTGCTGTTTTAGTAGTAGTTCGCATGTTCTATCCCTTCGCTGCTATGCGCACGCCAGCTGAAGCTAGCACGCCACTATAGTCGAAGTAGTAATAGCAGTAGAACAATCAAGCGGCTCGTGGAGCTAGCGCCGGTCGCTGGCGGCCGTTGTGGACATGTACTTATTGGTGTTGGACATCATCTTTGTTGATTGATATTTGTTGTAGTCGCCTCCTGGCCCTGACATATGATTGCCCATCGGATAGTCGAACGCGCTCTGGGAGTTGCCATAAGCGGTGCTGTTCTTCGACGCCTGCGACGCGGTGCTAGCTGTACCCGTCGCCGGATAGCCAGCGCCCTGCGCGGACATAAACGGCGCCATGTGAGGGAACGGTGCCGGAACAACTGGTCCACCGTAGTAGATGTTGTAGGGGGCGATATGAGGATATGCCGCTGTGGCCGTAATTGTCGATTGGCTGCCGGCCGTCGACGAACCCTGTGAGGCTGCTGCCGAACTCGAATCGTCCTGAGATCGCACGAACTTGTCATAGCCGTGTTGTTGGAGTATCGAGCTAGCGGTCATGGTTCCGGCGTTCGCCGACGAATTAGAGTTGTCCCGCTGCGAATAGTCGGCCGCAGCTAGATGTGCACTTGAGCCCGTTGGCGGTGGAAGCTGGCTAGGATGTGGGTAGTAGGAATACAAAGTTGGCTGCATAGCGCCAGGGTGGCCGGCGTGCATGTACGGCCCGTGCATATGGGGACCATGCAGTTGACTAGTCTGTAGCACCAATCCGCCAGGCGTCATGGCTTGTCCAGCGCTTGCAGCATTCTGTTGGAGTTGGCTAGCTGCTGACTTTTTCCCGCCGTCATACTGTGAAGAGCTCGACGTACCGGTCGAATTGACCGCATCGGATACGGCACCCACCGAGCCGGATGCCACTGCTCCACTGTCCTTGCCACCCTTGTAGCCCGCATTCGTCACGGTTGAGCCTGCTGTGATGGCGGAAAAGGGCATGCGTGTAGTGTTAGATATTTAACCTATGTGGGTCAAACGACAAACCCAATATTATAGAGTAGGGAAAATATAATATAGGAATTACGTAACTCATAGATCCTATGATATCAGATAACTGTGATGGTAATTGTATTGACCATTTTGAAAATTCTTCAGGCTGTCGATAGGCGGGATAAGCTCTGGTACCACTTCGGGTCTATAAGATTACAAAACTGAGATTCTGAGGTGGACTGTATATGGTAAACAAAAATAAGGCTTGAGCATTATTTCTTAGCACTTTTTCGTGTTGTCAGAAAGTGTCATTACAGTCAGTAAACCTAACGCTGTGAACTAAATTTTCTCAACGTAATACTAAGACCATTAACATATTAGAATAGCGCAGTAGTGCCTTACCAACATCGAAAAAAAACTTGTTTAACTATAGGAACAAATACATCCTACAACCCACTGATATATGTAATATAACAGGTAGACAACCTTCAAAGTTCAATACGAATTTAAATAAACGAAACACTAGGATTTGCTTACCAAAAGACGTGGCGTAGTTGGGACTACCGTATTGCGTTGCCTGTTGCCCGTATGGAGTGCTATTGTGGCCTGGATTATACATGTTTGTCGTTAGATTTTGTAGGTACGTCATGCCGGCCGTCTGCGTCTGCTGTTTATACGCATTGTTTGAGTACTGTTGGTAGTTATTCGTGTTGCTTACTGCCTGCTGATTTGCTTGTTGAGCCTGATTGCTCTGCGGAGCATGTGAATTATGGAACTGTGAGCTAACGCCTGACCCAGCCTGCTGACTCGTCTGACCGGCAGACGAACTTATTGCCGAGCTTGTTTTATGCGTTTGGGCCGAACTGACCGAGTTCGCGGAAGTTTTGTCTAATCCGGGTGGTACCGTCATCGAGCCTTGTGTTTGACCTCCTACCTGGCCACCGCCACTACTGCTAACTTGAGCACCAGCAGCTAGCGCCGCTTTCAAGCTGCCGCCTGCTTGAAGACTATTATCTGCATTGCTGCTTGCTTGTTGTGATGTCTTAAGGTTTGTTTGCTGTTGACTTTGTGCCTGCTGCTGTTGCTGCTGCTGCTGCTGCTGCTGCTGCTGCTGGTGAGTAGCGACGTGCGCAGCATTCGTGACCGCTGGCTGACTTTGCTGTGTTGGCTGTGGGCCCTGTTGTGGTTGCGCCGCTGCAAGAATAGTTGCGCCCGCCGAATTCAAAGCCGTTGCACCATTATGTTGCTGTTGCTGCTGCTGCTGCTGCTGTTGTTGTTGTTGTTGTTGTTGTTGTTGTTGTTGTTGTTCGACTGCGTTTGGCTGGGGTTGACTTTGGGAAATCGTGATAGAGTCGTAACTATTGCCGCCAAATGAAAGGGCACCGAACTGGACATCTAACGTATTGCCGTGCATGTCATGATGATCGGGAGGCATTTCGACGGGCGTCTGCGGAATTTTCGACGCTGGAGGAAGTCGAACCTTCGTGCGACCTGAGCCACATTGTGGGCCAACCAACCGCGTCGCTACCCGCTGTGTTCCAATCTTCTGCTGCTGTTGATGCTGCTGAGCCGGTTTCGACTCGAAACCACCATGGCAATGAGCGGCGTGGTGCACGCTCACGGAAATGCCAGTTTGTTCGTGACCGCCAGTAACAATGGGCTGAACTTGCGAAGCTGTAGCGGAAGGTACCGCTTGTTGAAGAAGAGGTGGTGTCGTCCCAGCTTGTCCCTGAGACCCGTTTCGTGCCTGTTGCCCACTTCCACCAACCTGCTGTCGTTGTCTCGTTTTCCAGTCACTGTTCCGATCATTAACAGAGTCTACCCATTCGGATTTATTTCCGCCAGTATTTCGATCTTTTCTACCCCCGCTCCATTCGTTCGCGTTCTTCTCATCGGCCTTGAAGTCGTCCCAATTGCCTAAAATAGTTGAGAAAACGTACATGGTATACGCATTCAAACATTACATTACAAATATTGTTGCCAAGGAAAAATTAACTTTAATATACCTGGGTACAAAACATGAAATAAATAGTGGGATTTTGATACAGCACAGAGGCATTTTTACAGATTAGACAAATGTATTGAAAAAAGGTGTTTATCGTAAATGCTAGTTACACTCCGTTAGCTATTCGGGTGTGCTGTTCTAGATACAGATTGGACGTCGTGTTCTATATTAGAAGAGTGATGAGAACTGTAGTCTATTGATATTTCTAGACACTACTCACTACACATACCCATATTGCCAATTGTGTCGTTCTGTTGTCCTGCAGCCAATTCTTCTGCTGATTGCTGGCCTGTGAGAGGTGCGTTAGCGTTCTGGCCGGGCGAACTCTGGGCACCACCAGCTTTACTGCCGACCGAGTTGGCCGGGTCGACCCACGTCGATCCGTCCCAGTCGCCAGCACTACTGTTATTACTGACTGCACTGTTGATGATGTTGTTGTTCGATGCACCGTTAGTGTCCCGCCACCCGGCTTGATTCTGATCCGGGTCATCGGATCCGCGTGGAGTGCCCTTCGGACCACCGCCAGATCGGCCTTCGCGCTGACCGGGACCTCCGCGGCCAGAAACTCGCACCCGTCCTCGGCCACCCCCAGGACCGCCTGCAGCGTTTTCGTAATAAACGCCACCACCACCCCTCTGAGCTCGACCTCGGCCACGACCAGGCCCGTCTCGACTCTCACCTCGGGGCCGACGATTGTCCTCCCGACGATCGACGGTCTTCTCTTTCTTTTTCTTTGCGCCAGATGTCTCCCAGCCAGTGCCTTTCGGGGTAGCCTCTAACAGGTAGTTGATTGCCTCCTCTTCGTCACCGTCGCAGTCATGCAGCGCCATAGCGGCCTCATCCTGCGAACGGCCTGTAAACTCCACAATGTTCTTGATCTTCCTGTGCAATTCAGCGCTATCCTGTTCGCTGGTCACATTAGTGATTTCTGCAATACGTAACTGTTCGGCTGTGGCTTGCGGGACAACCTTCTCCTTTTTGACGGAGGATCCGGCACCTGCCAAGACCCCTCCACCGCCACTATTGGCCGTCTGTGGTTTCATCTGTATACGAACAGAAGAATGGACATTGAGCCGGGTTACTACTAATAATACCGTTCAACTAAAACACGATTACAGTTAAATTAGTGCACCTACTTCAGTGATAACTAACTAGTAACTACTTCTCCAGGTCAAGGACAACGGGAATTTCCAAAGACCAGTAGACAAACGAAATAAATTGATTTTGTGCTGTATAGCACAAAAAGCAGGATTCGCTTCTAAAATAATATTCTTCCAACATGAGATTAAAACTGTTTCACTTTTGAGCCCTGCGGACCGCCAGAGCTGTTCTTTCATAATGAATTTTCCTGAAAGTTTTCACAAGCCTGCACACACATACGCGGACACACACACGTAACGAAAACATGCGCCTTATTGCAAAAAAAAATTCTCAAGGGTACAAAAACACTGTATTGACATCTTGTAGATTCTGCTAATGCTGGTTAGATCGCGGCTCTTCCCCTAAGCACAGCACCCGCCAACTGTATTGTTAGTAAGTAAGCAAACTGAATACCCCATTCTATTAATCTACTGGTCCTGCTGCTGTTGCTGTTGCTGCTGCTATTAGACGGGGAAAATCCGCGTGGCGGCTTGGATATACCAATAGATAGGACGTGCTCTGTAGTACGATTGTAACCAGTTTTCCGTTAAAGAACCAACATTTGGGGCAGAACGCTGACGGAGCTACACACTTCGCTCAAATGCCCATCTACGACGCAGATCCCGCTGCCAGCGTCGCCAGCGCGTGAATTCAAGCCCGGCCAAACAAACTGAAGAACTGAGCGGCTAATAAGTCTGCCCAATCCATCGGTCCCGAGTCTGCTCCTGTTGACGTAAGAAGCAATACTGCGGCCGCAGGATAAACAGCGTGACTGACTGAATTCCAACAGTAAACAACAAAGCTGCTTTCACAACTAGACCAGTAACGGTAGCAGTATCAAGACCGATTTAACCCCGGAGGAGAAAGAATCACAGGAGAGCCAATCAGCTATCAACCGAAGCACGTCAGCCTCACGTGATCTAGAGTACAAGAATATTACTGGTTTTAACGCGAGACAGAAACGTTCGCACAATGTTAAGTTTAATTTTAGCGGCAAATCATCTAAATAAGCTAACAACAACGTATCAAACGAGTATTAGTAACTCGTTGTTTTCTACTCGTTCCTCAATTCCTAAACACGTTTAGTTTAATTACGATAAAAAAATTAACCCCTGTACGGTTGAAGTTGTAGAGCAGTCCACCATAACAATAAGGTTTTTGGTTAGAAGTCGTAGATTCGTCCCATAACAACAAGGCACAGTCAATTGAGCACCCGATACCGTAAGTGCGCATTGCAAATATTACACTACAAAACCTCTACAACGATCTTGACGCGTTTGTATTTGATACGACAAACCCTAGCGAATATACCCCAGACATTACTAGATTCTTAGCTATTGTTGTGACTTCACGCCGTTCGTAGGTCGTTCTTTTCCGTGTATCGAACGCGGGCGCCAGCTACGACTGTGACTATCGAAGCATGGGTAGGTAAGCAGCAGCGAGATACACGCGTAAAGCCACACATGCGCAGTCTCTGGGAGATTCGGTCAGGCACAAATCACGCTGAGAAACCATGTAGGAGGAGGCGCTGAAGATCTTCGATAGTAGCGCCTATGCCGACGAGAACTGCTCAAAGACTACTGGAAATTGTTTACGTCCGCCGCTGCACTACGCCGCTGGAGCATTAAACAACGTCGTTTGCATGTTGGCGCCGAAGCTGCAGCTGCACATAAGTAGTCAAAAACATACGACGCATCTGTTACTGTATTGACGCATATTACTGTGTTGTTGTCGTCGCGAACCACCTCGCCATCATAATGTCAAAAAAGAACAGCTCCACGATACATGACTGCTTGCCGTCCTGTCAGCTAAATATGGAAAATAAATAGGCGGTGCGCTTCGACGCTATCCGCTTTTATTGCAACAACACCATTACACTTACTCAGCTCCGCTAAATGGTCTTATCGTTGCAGTATAAAAATGACACCAGTTTTCCTCAGCGAATTAATGGCGGCACTATCGTGTGAATCGACTGTAATTGGCAGCGGCCGAATAATCATTTCGATTTAATGCCTACCGAGTGATCACTGAACTATTATCATTGCAGTAGTAGTTTGCACGTGGACAGGTGGAAGAACATTAATGATTGGAATACATGTTAAATAGTAGTAAATCATAAATTGCAGAGCTTACACAGCCAGAAAAGAGCGGATATGAATCATTCGAATAACGCTGCTTCGACGACGACGACGACGTTGCGATGCAGCCTACAATTAATGTAACCTGGTTCAGGTGACTCAGGCAAAAGTGAACCACACTAGCAAGCGCCATACACCGCAATGGTTGCGGATGCTGCCGACGAAAACGAGCTTTTGTTAGGCAAAACCAGCCGTATTTACATAGTGTAGTCATAGTCATAGTGAGCGCATCACGACCAGTACTAGATAAAACGATATCAGCGCGTAGCAAACCAGCGCCCAAGACAGCACTTAGAGATAGAGCACATCAGGTCGATAGCATGATTTCTGGTGGATAGACACAGTTCACGATAACGCCACGAGACGATAATCTCACCCCAACGTGCACCGGCCAACATTAAGCTACAGAACACGGCAAATTAAACAGCAACGGCGGGCGGCATTTCACGAACAAACAAGGCGGCATCTGCAAACCAACACTTTGCAAAGCATATCGTCCCACAATAATTGCCGTCGTGTTCCTGCGACTCGCCATGCCATACAACACAATCCCGTCCGCATAAACGGTGCTAGTGAGTGGTCCCCCACGAATCGCTGTTGCCTAGCCAGGGCGGCGAGCTAGCTTTTGCCATCAGTCGATTGTGTACCCTTAAGGTGCATTAGAGACACCTTTGTCAGCCATACAACGACAATTTCTTCGTCGCTAGCGACGAACGACATCACTGTTGTGTTTAGGTAGCGACGTTGAGACTCACTTGCTCACCCGATCCATTCCCCTGAGCTCTCTAGAGATCAGTGGCAGCTCGAGCTAGGCAGAACTCAGGACCACAACTCCATTCCTCCCCGAAACCCTATCCAACCCGTCGCTATCGAATTCAATTCGAGTTGTCGCTGCGGCAGGGAAGAAATAGCGGTACGAAATTAACTTACTATCCATTCACACATAACCAACGGCAGAAGAAAGCACCGGCACAAAACAAACAAATCACGTAAACGAAATGTAAGCGGTTAAGTGCGTACTTTGTGGCCTGGAAACGCTGCATCGCACCAAGGCGCTCGTCGGCCGACGATCGACGCGGTATGTTCGACAACTACACCATAAATTTGCACAACTCTGTGTGTCACTCGCTAGCCAAGTTATTATTGTTAGTAGTAGCAGGCCAAAAGCAGTTACACTTGTTTGGTGTACGTTGTATGTAGCCGTCCCTTAAAGCCGTCTTGATCAGCAACAGCAGGACCACTAGCAGTAACTATCGGCTCGCACATTGCTGATCACATTGGCGCCGTAAGTATTCGTCGACTGAGTATGGTGTTAACCGTGTTAAGTGTATCAGGCCAGCACCACGGCCCGCATACTCATGAATGAATACACTCGTTAGCGACCTGCCAATAAGTAACAACGTTGGCTTCCGTTTCGTGTCGTGTCGAGAGCCAGTGAGAGGAAGAGAGAAAACTTACTTCAAAGATAAGAAAGCCAATACGAATCGCTAGGAAATGCGCAAGCGACGCTCTACCGCCACGACCGGCGGTAACTGATGCACCAATTTAGACACGATTGCGGTACGGCGCCAGCAACAGTGGTCGAACTGGGTCCGTACAAGAAAACGAAGGACCTTAGGCCTGCTTGCCTTTCGCACGCACGCCGGGTGCGCTGCTGCCCTGCGTTTTTTTAAGACGACCCGTTGCAAGCGGGTGACGACGCCGAAAACTTAACAGCTTTTCTGCATCCTGACGCTGGCCGCCAAATCAACTCGAAATCCTACAGGACACACTCACGATGTCGTCCCGCACGTGCAGAACGTCAATATCCAAACAGCACGCTTACCTGTAATGGCGACGCGGAAAAATGCACAAAACTACTAGCCAAAATATCAACTGTACAGAATCGATCGGTGAGATGAGGCTTACATCAACCGAAAGCCTAATATGAGACGAAAGGGGGCGCCACTGGCGCGCTCAGAATTTTGGAGCGCGGGCAAATTTGAAATCGTCCAAGCAGCAGAGCCAAGCGCACAATGAACCATCGAGCCCGCTATCCAGGCAGTCAACCAGCCTCTATTTTAACTAGAGCAGTAAACTAGAGTATTGTTGTACGACTCTATAGAGAGCCCACATGGCCACAAAGTTTTAACACATACATGGCCCATACACGGGCCTCACAGCACAGCGCGGCCTTTACAGCAGGCGACAATCCAGGGCAATACGCGCTAACTGACTAACTGCTTTCGTTGTATATGGGAATTAGTAGTCAGAGTCGCTGCTGCTGCTGCTGCGGCGGCAACGATGGCTGTTCTTCCCTTCTCTTCTAGTCTTGTTGACTTGCCACGGACATGGTCTGCGGACGGCGGACAACTAGATACGTTACTGTTGTGGATGATTTTTTTATACAAAAAAAGGAGGCAACAGTTAGAATAAAGAAAGAGACCCATGAGGAGCGGCAGCTGCAATATTACGGACAACAAATAATATACGAACGAGCACGTCGTGTCGACTGAGCATATATTTTTACAAAGATCGAGCAACTGCAAGTCGCTGTTATTAAAATGTGGTGGATGAAGAAGCTGGCGGGCAACAGGGGCGGGAAATAGCGAATACCTGCTTATTAGGAGGTATTTTACATTGTTTTCTGCTAAATTTATGAAAGCAACATTGTAAAAGCTACGGATGGTAAACATAGATCCTTTCGGGAAAAGGGCTATTAGTATTGCTGTTGCTGCGGCCTTGTTGGTTAAAGAGAAAAAAAGTCTCCTGTGGGCGACGGTGAAACTGGGCGCGATGTCTGCTCCAAACATTCCTTTTCAACATTTAGACTTCTATAAATTTTTAGTTAAAAAATATGAGTTTATACAGCAGAACGTTAAGAACCCTTGCCTCTGCTGGGAAATCCAAAATTTTTCCGTCCGTTTCCTTGTCCCATTGATAAGCAAATGTGATATCGGTCGTGGACTCGACACCCTCAGAAAATAAAAATAAAAGTTAGTTGAGTCGCTTAATACTAACAACATCCATACAAATCAATACTGCTAATGACTGACGGCTCCTTGAATAAAACTACAGTAACTATGTCAATAGGGGTACAAAGTGCGCTGAATACATATGAAATATATGCGCATAAATTTGTTGGGTGTTCCTGTCGATTTTTTGTAAATTTCTCACAAACACTGTATATAATGGCTTAATTAAAAACATGCACGCCTTTACGCAAACCGATAGCTACTGAAGACAATTCAATGCGAATCGGTGCCCTTTGCCCCCTCACGCCCAGCCGTACTGATACTGGCGCTCAGTTAAAGATCAGCGGTATTATAACAAAGAATTAAATGTTGAGTTTTTTTTTCCATTTAAAAATATTTTTATCAATTAATCGATTTATGGCTACAAGCCCAGACTCGTTTTCCCTGCATAGCTAACTGCTTTATTTATCTTAAGTACGAAATTTACTATGTTGATGGTAATGTTGTAACTGCTTTTTGGCGTAAACAGATGTTAAATACATTAGATATTCGGCTATGAAAGACTAAGTGAGAAGTCAAGCCTGAATTAAGTTGATTATTTCGCATCATGGGAACTCCAATTTTTAAATTTTAAAATTTAAAAAAGAACAAAAACTTTTAAAATTCCTATGAAGCTACCGTGATATACAGCTACAGTTCATTAAACGTCGTACTATGCGCACAATACAAGCAGTAAACAGGAGATGCTGTTTACTATTACAAACGTCGATTTAGTCCTTGCATGTTTCAAAAAACCATGAAAACAAATAAATCTACGGAAAATATTATCAAAATTCACAAAATGTTACATAAAGGCCTGGATTCATAAACGAATTGTGTATACCCTGCATTGTAAAAATCAGCAGTTACGGAACCAAAGGATGCCAGAATATCAATTTACATCTCTAGTACTGGCTGGATGAAATAAATGTCGATAACATGAACGCGTGTTGGCTACGTCCGTCTGATGTGCCCAAATGATAATTATAAGGAAGTGTTTTTTAGAGTTTTCCAGGACAAACCCAAAGGGTCCTAAATATCGTGGACTCTAAGGGTACGACGTGTTCCAATTATAGAAAATATATACGTACATTATTTATTAACATGAAACCTGTTTCGTTGTTAACGCCTGTATCATTAAAGCTCCTAAAAAGTTAATTTATAACTAGCCTGGAAATAGGGTGGTCTTCCCACCCGTTTACAGGATGCTTTTAATGATAGTATTCTCTGTTATAGTAAAGAAAAAGCAAAAAAAGGACTTGAGGCCTTTTTAAATTAAAACCCAGTGTGGGTTGGTGGCCAGGTATCTTTCACTGTTTAAAAGAAATTGCCGGTTCAAATCATCATTTCGACCACATTTCCAGCTAGTGTCAAAATAATTTATTTATCAATTGTTCTGTCTATACACAGTAGCAATGTTCAGCTTATTTCTTGTTGTCCTCGTAACTTGCAGAGCGCAACAACACATAGACGAAGAAAGCTGTTTAGGCCCACGAGCCTCGAATTTTGACCCTGTTGGAATCTCCTCTTGACGACATCACCGAACTACAAGCATCACATCATCGCAACGCATTGTCCGATCGCGTTGACCAAAAGAGACCCCATTGGATTAGACGTGCCAATTTCTGAGCTCTAGTTACTTTTGCCTGCTTCCAGAATGTGCGTAGGCAACACATGAGATCGATTTTCATTAGTATATGTTATTACTTGATTGGCGCGTTGTGATTATCATTCCTAGTCTACGATTAATTAGGCTGCCGTGGGCAGTACAAGAATGTAATTCAATAGTTTTTATGAGATGGAGGCATTCATATCCTACAGTTGTGATAATGCACTAAATCATGTGCTCACTTACTAAACCTGACAAGGCGCGGTAGGTTTAGGTTCAGATCCGGGCGCAAATTCAATGTTTTTTCATTTCGTTTTGGGAGCTAGCTGTCAAACCTATCTACTAATGTCTGTCGACTTAAAACCGGACGTGAAACGAGAAAAAAACAGATCCCACAGACTAATTTATTCCCTTGTTTAGATCTGGCTAAAGTAGTTTTAACGTAAACTTTTATGAGCGATATAATACTTGAGCCTCATTAATTGTGCATTTTCAACTTGGTCCTATCTACTTTGTAAACCGATTGCATTTAGCTATTATTTTTGCACCATTCCAATGTATATTTCCAATTAAACTTGTCATGCATTTTCTGAGAATTCAAACGAACTATGTTTTTATATATTCTGCTTTGCATCATTTTGACAAATCTATTTAGCTCTATTCAGCCGTTGCTTTGCGCAACATTGTTGAACATTGCTATATGTATCTGGAAAACAAATTATTTTTATCGTTTAGCATATATAGATGCTAGGATATTCCGATGGATACTCCGATGATGGAGCCACGAGTTCCCGAATTCAATCCTTAAATGAGATTCATAGATTTATTGAAGTACTAGATTTCAAATGCTTAGTTATCCTTCACTAACATGTGACCACTCTTACATTCCTGTACTTTTAAAATCCAAAACCGCAATCTATAGGTGACTCTTAGCTGCCGCTTATGGAGAGATCGAATAGGAGGAAGAGTCACTATATTTACCACCTTTCCCTTTGACCGAATTTGAACTAATAGATCAAAGTCCGTCTACGACCGGATTCGAACCTACACCACATCTAGCGGGCATATAGGTTGCAACATCAAAAAGATGTGGAGTAACTTGGCATCCGGGAAAACGGAAACTATTAAATAAAAATACATAAGATACACAAGTGGCACTGTATCATACCACTCTTTGAGCTTTGACAATAAATACCAAATCCAGTTCACGACAACTTAAATACATTTAGACTTCGGTTGGTGTGTTGGATTATTACGAGAGACAGATTTACTTGTCAAGCTCTTTTAAAATTCAGTGTTCCGTTGTTTAAGCATCATGGACTAACCTAATCCTTCTCGTCTTCCACTCTTGTCCTGTTTTTTTAAATAGATTTCCAATATAATTACTTTTGACTACATTTAACATCCAATTAAACTAAAACTTTGCTAAAACTTTTGCCTTCATGCATCAACTCTGCTGTGTAACATGCGACAACTAAAAAAATTCGCGGGACGGCCTCACTCCAAAGAGGTACTTGAGAAATAACTTTTTTCGACATATTTTTATCCAAACGAATCAATTTGCCCAACATACGTCTCCGACACAAACAGTCGCACCATAATTACTGAAAATTAGGTAACAGGCTGTCGATAGAAAGACATTTTTAATCATTTACGTCTTCCTTTTATCGTTAAAAAAAGGCGGGAAGCGATCGCGGATCGGGAAAGAGGTTTGGGGCATCACTCGCGTTGAGCTGCTGGCGGTGCTCGCTCTTTGCTGGCAGCGCAGGCGAACGTTGCCAGTAATAAAGAGCAGGCAAGTGGGTAGTGAAGCAGGCGGTCTGTCCCTGTTTGTGTGCTGTGAATGTGTATCTATGTGCGAGCCTGGTGTTGTATATATATAGAGGAGGGTAGTGGCGGCTGTAAGGCGCCACCGCCACGACTAGTGCTGCTGCTGCGAACTACGGTCTCTTCTCTCTCGACAGGAAGAGCGCCGCGTGCGAACAATCCTGTTTACAAAATGGCGGACAGCTACAGTCAGAGGTAGATCGCGTTTTGACTAAAATTTTGTAAAAATAATGAAGAAACCATGTGAATTTGTGATGTTCGATTGACTGCACGATAATGACCGGCCGCTGCCGGTTGCTGTGGGACATTTCCTTTGCGGTTGCCGCTCGGAAATAGTCCTAAACAGGCGATGGAACACCCGTATGCCGCCCCACACAGCACCGTGTGTTGGCGCCGAGTGATACCACCGCGAGTAGTCGCCGGTCGGACGGCTATGTTGTGAACGATTCAGATTGGCAAAGCCCGTTGCTTTTATTTCGCGGTTCAATAAGGTGATACTGGCGAATAAAAGTAAACGAAGTACGCAGCCACCGACCGATGCCGTGCTTGTCGTCGTAGACAAGCCCCACCTGATTTCCACTTGCTTCTTGTGCAGACTGAGTTGTTTCTAAGGAAGGCCAAGCCACACTGAAGGTTTTAAGCCTGCATGGGGTACTAGCCATTTTTCATCGTTCCGAGTCGCGTCCGTTCGATCTAGCATCAATCAGTTTTGTTCAATATACTCAAAAAAAAACGATGATATGAACTACTACAATTCAATAATAGGCAAGCTCATATGGGCTGTTGCCGATATAGTTTACTTTTGTACCTGCAGTCAGTCTTCGGCAAGCGGCAGGCAATGATGAACAGCTACAACTGCTGGCGCTGTTTTCTGTTAGAAAAAAAAACGGCGCGATTTTGAGACATCGAGAATCTCGTCGTTCCCACGTGCGTAATGCTGGCTTTTTCCGATGTTCGATTCAATATGAGTTTTTCGGCGTCGTGTTTTTGTGTGCGGGGAAAACGCATTATCGCAGCCTATATTAATGTGTAGGCAACGAATAATCAGCCGCTCCCCTGGCTTCTGTGAGCCTAGGCATATAATGCTATGTATGTTCCTCGATTATAGTCTCCGCTATTTAGAGGGCTGCAGTGTGTAATTATTAAAGAGTGCACTGTGTTCGTGGAGTGTTGCCTATAAAGTTTTGTGCGAGTGCGTTGTATAGTGATCCTGACAGGGACTGTGCCTTTTTAGCCCCGCTCCAGCCATTTCCTGCTCGCTGAGAGCAGGTAGAACCGTCTCTAACCCTTCTTTTAATTTATTATTACCACTATCAAAATAAAATTTCCAAATAGTATTTAATGCAATTAGTTAGCAATGCATTACTAATCTTTTTCAGTTTTATGCCGCCGTACTACGATCTACAAACAGTTAATATTTGTACAATGCAAAAACGCCAAATTCCCTTTGGCTCACTAGTGCGTATGCGAAATTTCTAGGACTCTACGTGATGATATCATTCTTTATCAATCGATCCAATCAACTAAATCACCCGACGCGTTGAGGCTTTGTTGCCTCGCGGCGGCTAGATTGACTGGCTGGTTAGGTAATGGGCAAACGAGAGCGTTCGCTGAACGTTGCTTGAGTCTCTTTGTGTCATCTGGTCTCACTTACAAGTAGCGCTACTTTTAAAAATATAGGCAGTGGTCAGAGAAACAATAACGACGAGAAGGTTACGGAGCCTGTCAAAGAGGAACGCAAAACAGAACGAACCAAAGCCCTTGTGGAATTAGATCGGATGTTCTCTAAGGACCGCTATATCGATGCTTCGCTGTACGTGCTGCAGGGTTCAGGTTTTTTAAACGTCTATAAATATCCGAGCAGTATTTAGCAGTAAAAAGATTATCATAATGTTGCTTTGATTTAACATTTAGGTGATTCAAAGTTTTACATGACATTCAAGGACACTGTTAGTTGTTGACAGCGTCTAATATTCACGGATCACTCGGTATCAAGGCATAGATCATAGAAGTTGTCGGGTACTGGTGCAGTTATTGACAACATGTGGACAAGAACCTTTATTAAACTCGACTATTGGCAGCAACGCAGCTTAGTTCTAAGCTCATTCAAATTCAGTTCTGAATTTATGGCAAAAGAGGTCGATAAACGTGCCAACTGATTTTTCGCAGATTCACCAACGAAGTTGAAACATGTTACATGTGATTGCATATTCCGTGATTTTAAGCAAGCAATTTGACTTGGATTTAAAGTTTCCATTGCGAAATTAAACACTATCTATTATAGCATCTCGTAGTACAACTATATGCGTGCAGTTAGGTTGAATCGTGGTTATTAACCTATTCTTTCTCTAATATCAGCAACAATATTCAATTTTTTGGATGAAAAAATATGTGGGATATACAGCGTATGCGAGCACCGTATTAAGGGAAAGTAATTGTACAATGGAGAAACAGTAAAAAAAGCTAGCATAGTAAGACCATAAATCAGGATTCTCGGTTGAAATTAACCGTAGACCGGTTGGTTTGTATTTAGAATGAATTGGTAACTGGTCATCATTTAGACAAGTTGGTGGGTCATCTTGGGAGTTGCGAGCTAACGAAGGAATCACTGATGGGAGCGACTACCGTAGAATTTGAACAATTTATGCCTACACCTATTCCTTTACTTATACAGAATACATGAGGTATGCTGCAAAGTTTCATATATATTTGCAGCCAATGTATTAAACATGAACGGTGTTTTTAGGAATTGCAAATTTTGCGAGACACTGATAAATGGATGCGAAGTGTTAATTACTTCAAAATTTGTTTAACCGATTCTTTTTTCTATAGCTAAGAATCTGCTCCAGGTGGGATGATATAACGAAAAGTAAAATTCATTCGAAAATAGATTCTGCGTCCTGTGATCTGTTGAATGACAAGCACTTGTGAGTTATATGCATTAGGTTTGAACTCGTAGCAGAGAGTTTCTTTATGTCAACTTATCAGATTAAAATAGTAGTCATTAACGTAAAAGGAGCATCGTTTTTATACAAGTACTCAGTCATTATGTTCTAAAAAGCGAACTGTTGTTTATAGAATACAAAGATACTTGACATGCACTATTTTAGATTGCGACTGACTGACAAACTAATCTCAAATTGCATCCCAAGTAGCACGAGCGAGAAATGTATTATTCTTATAACCTGCCCTCTAAGCCATGACATGACATGAGGTAATGGTCGGAGTGAGCTGGACCGCTATTTTTCTCGGTGTATTATGCGTCACGAACATGTCTCATATTAATGGGTCGCTTGTTAATTTCAGGTACGGTCGGGGGAACAACGGTCGCAAACCGATCCCGTCGGAGCCGCCGTACACGGCGTATGTTGGCAATCTGCCTGATAGGGTGGTGCAAGCCGACATTGACGAAATCTTCAATGGACTTACGGTTAGATCTGTCCGGCTTGTTCGTGACAAGGAAACTGACCGTTTCAAGGTACGTGGACGATACTGCAGTACTTGGCGTAGGATAGCAGGGTCAACATTTTAGTGACAGGATTTGTACAGGTTCGTTTCGTGTTGGTTACTTTATTTCTCGTCCTGTTTTTGTTGATTGATCAGAATCAAACCATCATGGTCAGAACCAATCATACGAAGTATTTAATTCTGTATGCTTATAATTGTAGGGATACTGTTATGTTGAGTTTGATACCCGAGAGAGCCTTGAGCAGGCTTTGGAACTGAACGAAGCCGAGGTAAACGGCAAAATCATTAAAGTGGACGTTGCTGAGGGTCGACGTAACGATCGTGGAGGCCGTGGTGGTCCTGGAGGGGGTCGTCCGGGTGACCGAGGAGGTCCTGGCGGACCCCGAGGCTTCAACGACAGTAGACACTCGCAGCGCGACAATAATAATCGGGGCTATGGCGGTCCAGGTGGCGGCTATGGTGATAGGGGATCACACGATCGAGACCGGGTCTATCGAGACAATTTCGGTAGGGACAATTTCCGTGACAACTTTGGTAGGGGTGATCAACAGCGCGGTGACATCCCTGCTAGCCGCGATTTCCAAGGTACGTAGGCACGATAATGAATAGATGTATCAGGACACTTCCTATATATTCTATATACTATTCCTATATACTTCCAAAGTACAATCAATGCGTGCAATGACAGCGATCAGTTGAGCGTTAACTAAGGTCGGAAATCTTATAAAACGTTTTGGTACATTAATCTCTTTTTCAAAGCATTTGTCCTTACCAAGGAGTCGTATTATTATTATAACCGTTATGTTGCATTATTTGAAATAATAAAACAATATTCGTTTTTCTTGTAATTTGAACTGAAGCAAGCAATTAGTTTAATTCTAGATTATCTATGCCTACCCATTTGTGTCCTGTAGAACAGACCTTGCCTACTTCTTGGCATCCACACCTCCTCGTTGTAACTTTGTTTAACGTTTTCTGCGTTTTATTTGTTAACCTTGGTTAATATGTTTTGCAGGGTCTGCCTGGGGCATGAGGCGCGAACAGCGACAACGAGGAGGTCCGGACTGGTCGTCGCGTCCGCCCATGTCCGAATTTAAAGAGCCATCTCGTGAGGATGCCGAGCAGCGGCCACGTCTTAAACTTGCGCCCCGTACCGTTAAAGCACCGACAGGAGAGCTCGCTGACACATCCTCGCGTTCCAAAATTTTTGGAAATGCCAAGCCACGCGATGAGAAGGTATGCTTCTAATTCAGAGTAGCATATCGTTAAGCTGCATAACAGTCGGTACTTATACGGCGTAATTACTATAAGCCTTCTGCAGGAGTTCTTGTGTGTATTAGATTTTGGTCTCTTTTTCTATCTCTTTAATATACAATTTGTGATTTTAAACCGTTTTGCAGCTGTACCAGGAGAAAGTGCGGCGTTCATCGGAATCATCCGGAACCGGTTCTGTATATAAGGGAGATTAAATGACGGAGGGTGATGAAGATGACAAAGTTAAGGATGCTTGGGGACACTGGTTTAGATTTAAGAAACGATAAAGACTATGCTGAAGAAATGAAGACAAGGATAATTATAAAAAAACGGGATAAAATGTAGAGATGAAGTTGGCCAAGAACGACTCTCTGTGTGCCTGCTCCATAACCGCGTTAGTAAGCATTGCCCATGATCCCCGCGCCTTGAAACCACCCTACCCGTTTCCCGCCATCCTTTACAGCCTTGGGGATTTTCAGTTGAAAGTCAGTCCTATGGGTTTTTGAGAGACATATTTTTATTTTAACCAGTTCGTGGTAACTTTCTGGGCATTTTTAATTTTCTTTGAAGTCAATTTTTTGTGAGTTCTATTGAAGTTTCTGTATTTCTCTGTCTGCATTAGGTTGTTTTTCATGCTTTGTACCATTTTGTTGTGTGTGTGTGTGCGCGCGTTATGATAACTATATTGTTATTAGTACTATAATTTAATAGTTAGGTCCAAAACCGTAAATAAGGTAATAAGAAAATCTATGTCATACTTAATAGTGTATGGGAGGGAAACCGTTTTTGACGAAATTCTCTACTCATTACAAAAAAAGATATGAAAAAAATTATGGTAAATTTATCATGCAAGATAGCAAAAGGTTAAGCAGAAGAAGTGCAGGATATTAATAACAGAATGTTTAGTGAAAACTGATCATAAGTAGGATAGCACTGAACAGTAAGGAATGTATGTATAT